GGATGAAAGTGCCCGGTACTGGAGTGGTTGCTCCATCAATGCAATCCCCTATGGGGGGGTGTTTGTCTGTACTAGGCGTAATTGCGCTACAGAGCTTGCCTTTATCAAGGAGTGGCAGAATATTACCACACTCCTATCAGAGAAAGGTTTCAATAGTTTGGTTATACAAAAAGGTTTAGATTGTGCCAAGAGGAGAAACAGAAAATAATTATTGACAGATATTCCAACGGGTAACAACAGAATCAAGGATTGAGTAGAACAGGAAGAACACCATTCACGTTTGCCACAACCTATTCCAGGGAATACCACCAGATAACAACAATAACAGAAAATTATTTACCAATTTTGTAAACTGACAGAAGTTTACACTGTTGTGCTGTTTTTCTGGATCTGGATCTACATCTGCATTGATTTTTTCTTTCCCTTCTCTTCCCATGGTCTTTCATGTACTCTTTTTTTCTCTACACCACCCTGTTCTTGTAAACCTACAGTTATTTAGTCATATTTGTTTATATTCATTATTTTTTATTATTTGTTTTCTTTGTGTTTTTGATTATGTGTGTGTTTCTAATAGTGGTTTTCACATGGGCTCTGCAAATTTCTTTATCAGCTGTGCCATCTTTGTAATTATCTGTTAATGAGGCAATTGCTAGGTGGAGTTTTTGCTTTTAGCCACTATTTTGTGCTTTTGTGTTGTAATAATAGTTATGAATAAAGTCGTGTAGGTTGAAACGTGTCAACTTTTCTGTATCATGATTTGTACACTGAAGATTTTTTAAGAGCAGCTACGGTGGTGCAAACCATTTTCATGGACTATTTTCTACAGCTGTGCGACTGCAGGTTGGGCACCCATAAACTCTTTTTTTATGCTTCTATGGAATGGATGGTAGCACTATGCCCTTTATCATAAGTTTCTGACATAAAACTGAACCTTGGGTTTACAAGTTGTGAAGCACAGTGGCAGTTCATTGAGTTTTCCTGTCAGTATCTGCTTGCCCTACATTCCGTACGGACAAGCAGATATACTGACAGGTCTGCAGGAGACCTGCATGGCACCAGCGATGTAATACTTTACAGGTTCCAGAAACAAAAAATAATAAACACACTTTTTTACCTGCAAAAGTGTGCATTTATTATTTTTTGTTAAACGGTGAACTTCTCCTTTATACCTTCACTAATACCGCTGCCTACCAGAGGGTTGGATACAGGCATAGAAACATGTAGGCCAGACCAGGATAACCTCTCCTACTACCAGCATGCTTCAGATTTTTGGAAAAGCAGTCATGAAAGCATGATCATAAGCATAGAGAGGTGGGACATTTACCTCTCATTGGATTCCAAGAAAATGATTTTACTGTGAGTACTAAAATAATTTTTTTTCTCATCCACTGAGGAATGCAGTAAGTCTTAAACGCTTGTGACATCTTAAAGCAGTTCAACTGAGTGGTCAAACAGGCTAAACAACAGAAAACTGGAGACTGCAAGTAGCTAAATGAGCCATCCAAAGGATCTTCTTCAGCATCACAATGCAAAACCAGAAAGGGTTCCTTACAAGACAAGGCCACCAGTTCAAACTCTTGTCTTGTGTAAGTGATGGCTACAAGGAACACCACCTTGTGGGTGAAAGTGGAGAGAGGAATGTCTCCAATGACTAAAGTGGAACTGCACTGCATCTGAGCACCTCAAACAAAAAATCAATCCATGTCTACATGCTTTATTTTGCTTAAAAACCACATTAAAAAAACTCCTAGCATTTCTTGCTGTGACCATCTTAAGTAAAGGCAGATGATTCATGTAGCATTTGCTTTCTGCAATCCATCTGCCCTTAGCTCAGGCATGCAGGCAGGTGGGTGTGCTTAGCTGACAAAATCCCTCCTCCCCTCCTGAAAACTCCTGGGTTGTATGACATCATTTTCCTAGGCCTGGAAACCAGAAAGTAACTGACAAAAAAAAAAAAAAAAAAAAGTTTATGAACGTATGACATCCTTTCCTATCTACCTACTAATGCTAACAGCATAAAGACTAAAAATAGTCAATGTTGTTTGAGAGAGTGAAATTCTGCTTTAAATGTCTTTTGAAGTGCAAGAGAACCAGATTCAGATTCCACAGAATCGTAGGGGAGCCACTTGGAAGACTCCTTGAATAAAGGTCTTAATCAAGAAAGCCAACAGTCTCTGAAATAAGACAAGAAAGAGCAGGAGCCTGGCCCTTGAGAGTGCTGAGAGCTAAATGCTGGTCCAGGCTAAGCTATGGAAAGCTGAAGAAATGTCCCTTGTTGCAATTTTTTACCCTAGGAGATTCTCCAAGTGAACCATTCCTTCTACTTCCTGTACAGGAGGCCAGGAGTGTGTCCTGAATGGCAGATATATTTCCCTACTTTTTGGATTGAGGTCCCTTTAAGGGAGAGCTCAAGAGACATTGTTAGTGCTCAAGGGTTCTCACCAATGCAGGTTGAGGGGTTGCAGGGTAGTCTGCTAAGAGATAGAGGACTGATTTTCAGTACTCTCCAGAGTGGTAAGCCTCCATTAAGGACCCGGAATTCGGAGGTTCAGAGATACTTATGGGTGGGAAAGAACCTCCAAACCCTGATTACAGAGACAAATTCTGAAGAAATTAAGCCATATGCAAGGGAGTCTTGACAAACAGCAGGAAGGAAACAGCAGGTGTCTATGAGGTAGTGTGGAGTGGTTCACAGCTGTGAACAAGGGTGGACTCTCTGGAGACTAAGATGCAGGTTTTACTGAGCTCCTGCGGTTTGTCTTCTATCCTGAAACAAAGGGGAACCCTAAACTCTGGATTGGGACTGAGAGACTGGCGGTGAGCCTTGGTATGGTTTTCTTTGCACTAGAACTGTGAACTGTTTACTTTACTATTGTTGAAGAAAACTATGTGTTTGCCTATTGAGAGATCAATAAAGACTATTAATTTGAACAAGCGCCTTGCTGGTGATCTCAGGCCCTCAATATGACACTCCAATGATAGACATTGGTCTAGGTTTCTAGAAACACATAACTGAAACTCTGAAACAGAATGACACACTCAAGCATCTTTTTGTGAAATTTGGGATCCTCATTTTTCCCAGGACCTTGTCCAAAGACCAGTGAAATCAGCTTTGCTGAGCAAGGTGGGGGGCAGGGCATAAGGCAAGTCTGTTTCTGCTTCTCCTAAAAATATAAGGTCCACTTTAACAAAGAGAAAACAAAGCCACTGGTGCAAGCCGCTAAAACCAGTTATGCCATCCGTCTAAGGCAAGATGTAACCTGTCCAAAAACAAGCAGAAACTCCTCTCAAAATGAAGATGACAATGGAAATGGGCTTCAATCCTGCATTGGTGTGAAGGACTCCCAATGGTGATATATCCTTTTGTCGCCAGCAAAGCTGTTTAGGTCAAGCCGAGTTTTAGATTTTGAGGTAACCTACCACAGCTACTAATATAAGTGAAATGAATAGATTCCATGCTAAATAGGCAGTGGACAACATCTGCATTGAGTTTGTATGCCCACCCCCCCATTATTTGGGGTGAGTTTCCTCCTACAATACAAAACCAAATCTGGCAAATTAGATTGCTTACTTCAAGAAAGATTTACACGCCTCTTAGAGATTCACTAGACTGAAAGAACTCTTGGAATATATACCATGATCTATGTAAAGAGCTACATGTAAATGCCACAAAAGCTTGAAAAAAAAAAAAAAAAAAAATCTTAAAACCCCCATAACTATAGGCAGTGCTGAAAAATATAAAACAGATTAATATAGAAGACTAACATTTGATATTTTTCCCCTCATATAAAGCTCAAATTGTTTACCCGTATATACAGTGCTCCACAGCAATAATTGTTTCACATCAAACATGACTGTGAAAAGGCCATTTATTACATGTTTAAATACAAATCTGTTAGGGAACAAGGCATTCAATATATGTCAAAAATACATACAAAACATTTTTTTCTTAAAAAAATACTTAAAAAATAATAAAAATCACTTGTGAAAACAAACAGTCGTTTACAAATAAATTCACTTGAAGTTAGAACAGTCTTCTTCCTTCATAGTTAGCGTTCTCCCAAAAAGTACAGTTGAAAATAAAAAAAAAAGGATTGTCTGTAAACAATAGCAGTTAGTGAGTCTTTAAAGGATTTATAAACTCATCCTGTCTCAGGCGACTGCCCACCAGAAATCCAGCATGGAAGTACTACACAGTAGTTTCATGTTTCCATAGTCCAGTCTTAACATTTCCATTACTGTCTGCATTTAATGGTGGCTCCTGCACCACTTCATCTTTAGCTGGCTCGTTTTCTACGGCCAGATTAAGACCGTATGATTTTTGCTGGCTTTCCAGTTCTACAGCTATGGGTTCCCTCAAAATGTCTTTTTTGTGGTTGCTGGAAACTGTCTTTTCCATATTTCTACTGTACCTAGGCAGTGTGCTGCCAGCATCACTACTATCTTGATGACACTGGTTAAAATGGCGCTCTCGATAAGCCAGATATGCTCTGCTCTTCTGCTTCGCGAATGGCCTTCAGAGTAACTTGGTCGACTTCTTGGCGCCGTGTTTTGTACACTCCCATCAACACTTGTGGGGACATCATAGGCGTATTCCCTAAGAACAGTAAGTCTACTTGATCGATGACCTTTACTCCTGTTTTTGTGATGCCTAGATGGGTGACCATTAGAACGATACTGAACCTCCAAGGGTGCAACGTGCATTTTGATGTCATTGTCTATAGAGTGCTCAGTTAAGCTGGTGTCAAGCTGGGGTGCAGTGTTGACCGGCAATGAGTTTGTGTTACATTGGGCTGCAGCTGCTTGTATGTTAGTTAGTTTGCAACCTTGTGATGAATTTTTAACACTGGAAGCTGTCTTGTTGGTACATGAAGACTCGGCACTACTATTTGTGCACTTAGGAGGCTCGCCATTGGTGGCAGTGGAGTTGGATGGTGGAACGTTGACTTGTACAGAATACGTACTTCTTCCTGGGCAGAAAGTGTTTATTAAGGCTCTTCTCAAATCTTCTCTATTAATGCAGTGGTGTACCACTAAAAAGGCACCAAGGCTTAGACATGTGACCCCGAAAAAACAGCTGAAGACCAGATCCATTGGGTAATCCAAAGAGACTGCCAATGCACCAAATATCCAAAGAGATACATAGAGAAATAGAGTAAGGCTGACTCCAAGCAGTTGAGCTTGGAATGTCTGTTCATTCTCTAAGGCTGATGTGGATACTAAAGACACAGAGAGTGAATCTGGGTTGTTCCCCCTCCCCGCTCTCGCTGGCTGCAAGACGCTGCTGTTCCTCTGTCTGTTCTTTTAATTCAAACACTCGGTCAGGGTGACGTTTGAGTTGAATGAATATGCTGAGGAAGTACATGCAATTTATAAAGACAATAAAGCTCGCTGGACCGTAGAAGGCTCCAAGGCTTGGTTCCCAAGCCATCCAACAACTGAAAATAATAAAACAAGTGCGTTAGAATTCCAAAGAGTAGGCAATGTGTAGCACAGTAAATCCTTTTTAGAAGAGAAGGTATTCACATATCTCATGCCATCACATCCAAACAATGATAGGATTATTTCTCATTTTAGGACATTTTTCAGTGCCAGGCAAATCATTCCTTTACACTCCAATGTCCAAATTCATGTTCAGAGCAAATATAGCCTATTATTGTAGAGCAAGTTAAAGTGCATACAGCGGTTTCAGGCTTGTTTTCCATTATCTGTGCAGAATATGGAAACCATAGCCTCTATGAAGTAGGGCTTGGGACACCACAAGACAGTAAACCATACAGGCTATGGTGAGAAGGAACTAAAGAAAAGTAAAAAACCTCCAACCAAATCAGCACATAGCACATTAGAGCCTACTTTAAAGGCTAAGTTCACCTTTTTTTCCCCCTAAATTGCCCCCCTATGTACCAATATACCATTAACCACCAGGAGTTTTCTGTCACATTTTGTTCACATGTAACAATCAGTTTTTTTGCTAGAAAATATCTTACAACCCCCAAACATTATATATTTTTTAATAGCAGAGGCTCTAGATCATAAATTTGTGGGTTTTACAAATTGCACGGTATTTGTGCAGCGGTTTTCAATCGCCTATTTTTGGGCAAAAAAACCCCAGTATTTTGAATTTTAATACGAAAAACACAATACATAACCCAATTTTTTTTTAAATATAAAAGATGATGTTACGTTCAGTAAAAAGATTCCCAACATGTCAGGCTAAAAATGGCGCACGCCCATGCAGCAGCGAGAAACAACATAAATTTTACTATCCATAGGTGACTGTTTAAAAGCCTTTACAGGTTACCACTTTAGATTTACAAAAGGAGGTCTGGTGTTGGGTTTACTGCCCATGATCTGATGTTCTCGGTGATACATCAAATGTGTGGGATGATCGCTGTTTGCGTGTGTGTGGGACCGACGCATGCATTCACCTTTGTGTACAAGCAAGGGGGGACAGGGGCACTTACATTTTTTTTTTTTTAAGATTATTAATTTTGTTTTATGTTTTTTTTTTTTAATTTTTTCACTGTTCCTATAATTTTTTTTCTTTTAGTCACTTTTTTTGCTGTCACAAGGAATGTAAACATCCCTTGTGACCACAATAGGCATGTGACAGGTTTGGAGGGATCTATAGGACCCCAAATCCCTCCTCTGCACTTAAACCATTCAAAAACACAGATCATGGAGTTTTGAATGCTTTTAATTTTTTAAAAAAATTGAGCTGTTAAGTTCTGAGTAAACAAGAAGTGATGTCAGGTCATCACTTCCAGTTTATTATAATGAAGAGTCGATCAAAATTGATCCCGGTCTTGTTTGCCTGTCTGTCCAGTGGGACAGAAGACCCCGAGAGAGCAGCGGAAGGAGGCAGACGTTCCCTCTTGCTGCTTTTAAAAGCAATTGAGTGGCTAACTAGCCATTCGGTTGCTTTTACAAGAGAGCCAACTGCCAGCTCTAATGAGGTCAGCCAGTGAACTGCTTCCTGTGTCTTGCTGGTTTTCATGTCCAAAATCTACATATCAGGAAGTCATGAAGTTTTCAATGGGACACACCAGGAGCTAAGGTAAGGCCTTGTTCTAAAAATCAAGAAAGCTTTTATTTTTGTGCAACAGAAGTACATTCAGTGTGGATTCACACACTAATTGATACAGTAGTTGTTCAGTGGTTCAGGTCAGGTTTACATCAGGTTTAGATCAGGTTCAGGTCAGGATTTTATCCCATTCGCAACTGATTACATGTGTGGTTTAGAAATGGTTCCCACAGAAGTCAATAGCCTGTTATCAGCACCTGAAGACGACCGCACTGCTCAGAAATCGGACAGGACCCTTTTTTTAATCCACACCTATGCACTCCCTGTAACCTCTCTAACACCCCTTTTCCTCTCTCTGATCACAACTTTATCAGCTTTGTGCTCTCTCTGTCTCCTACCTCCCATGCCTCCAACCAACAAACAGTTACACGTAGAAACCTCCACCACCTCAGCCCTTACCTTCTTCACTCTGCTACAAAGTGCCTTTATGATAAAATTGCGCCCCTGCCCAGACCTGCAAGCGAGAATGTCACCAGAACACTGAGGATCACCAATATGGGTACAAAAGTTTTAACGAACGAACACATAGTTACAGCAAGGCAACGTTTCGGAGTCTCACAGGCCCCCTTCATCAGGCATGTGACGTGGTCACATCTGCCTACAACAACCTACTGTTATCCTCCCTGGACGCACTTGCTACACGCAGAACCAGGCCTCGCCTGTCACAACCCTAGCAAACAGATGGCAGAAGTCTCAAGAGATGCAGCTGTGCTCTTGAGCGACTATGGTGTAAAACTAAATCCCTGCAAAACTTTATTCTCTACAAATCCACTCTTCTCAAATACAACTCCGGCCTCCACGCTGCTAAATAAACCTACTACAACACTCTCATCAAAACCCTCTCATCCAATCCTTGTCAACTCTTTTCTACCCTTAATTCCTTACTCCACCCCCCACTGCCTCCACCCACCAACTTACTTACTGCACAGGAGATTGCCAGTCATTTCAAGAAGAAGATTGACAATTTTTGATGAGATCTCCAGTATCAAGCTTCCTCCCCCAACCAACATACCAGGCCCAACACCACACTCAACACTCTCCTCCTTTGACCCTGTTACCACCGAGAAAGTTACCAAACTCTTTTCCAAGGCTCACTTCACCACCTGTTCCCTGATGATTATTGTAGCCTCCTTCCTACTCTATCCTAAACTCTCTAACCCACATCTTCAACCTCTCACTCTAAACGGGCACCTTTCCCTCCCCGCTCAAACATGCACTGGTTACCCCCATACTTAAAAAAACTCTCACTGGACCCCACCAGTTTTAATAACTTAAGACGCATCTCTCTGCTCCTGTTTGCCTCCAAGCTTCTCGAGCGCCTTGTTCACAACCGTATGAATTGCTACTGCACTGACAAGAACCTTCGCAATCCTCTACAGTCTGGCTTTCGCCCACAACATTCCGCTGAAACTGTCCTACTAAAACTTACTAATGACCTACTAACTAATAAAACCAATGGCCATTACTCCATACTCCTACTCTTAGACATTTCTGCTGCCTTTGACACAGTTGACCACCCGCTCCTCCTCAGTAAACTTCACTCCATTGGCCTCCGTGACTCTACTCTCTCCTGGTTCTCCTCTTACCTTTCTCAGTGCATGTTCAGCATCACATACAACAACTCACCTGATCCTCTTCCTGTTGGGGTGCCCCAAGGCTCTGTCCTTGGGCCCCTCCTTTTCTCTCTCTACACCTCCTCCCTGGGTCAATGGATAACCTCCCATGGCTTCAATACCATCTTTATGCTGATGACACCCAGATCTATCGCTCCACTCCCCAGCTCATCCCAGGGTGCTAGGTGTAATCCTAGACTCTGACCTCTCCTTCGGGTCCCACATCCAATCACTGTCTAAATCCTGCCTCAACTTCTGCAACATTTACAAAATCCGCCCCTTTCTGACCAATGATACCACAAAACAACTTATCTATGCCTTGGTTATATCCCGTTTTGATTACTGCAACTCCCTCCTCACTGGTCTACCATTACACAGGTTATCCCCTCTTTAGTCTATTATGAATGCTGCTGCTAGACTCATACACCTTACCAACCAATCAGCGACTGCTGCCCCTCTCTGCCGATCCCTTCACTGGCTTCCACTAACCCAACGTATAAAATTCAAAATACTAGCCACAACATAGAAAGCCATCGACAACATTGCCCCTAGCTACATCACCAATCTCATCCGCAGATATCATCCAAATCACCCTCTCTGCTCCTCCTAAGACATCTCGCTCTCTAGCTCCCTCATCACCTCCTCCCACGCTCGCCTCCAGGATTTCTCCAGAGTCTCTTCCATCCTCTGTAACTCCCTACCCCAGTATGTTCGGTCAGCCCGCACCCTGTCTGCCCTCCATCAGATCATCCCCTGCAGCTATCACCTTTTGTACCACCTTCCCCTACCATTAGTTTGTAAGCTCCATGAGCAGGGCTCTCCTATTCCTTCTGTACTGAAATGTATTGTAATTGTACTGGTCGCCCTTTATATTGTAAAGCGCTGTGCAAACTGTTGGTGCTGTATGGATCCTAGAGTACAAAAAATGGCCGCTGCCCCAGTCTATAACTGGCCTTCACAGCAAGGAGCACATGGAAGGGTGACACATGTCAAACTACAAAAGAGAAAAATTCCCAGCTCAGCTTGCCAACCAGCCTGCAAACAAATCGAATCAACCTGTCTAACAGTATGCGTTAAAAACAGTGTACATGCGTAAGCTACAGAGCCTTGTCACAGCAAATTTGTAGAGTTAGGAACTACAGAACATCGGGGTGCCGTGACGAGGCTCTGTAGCTTACGTATGTATTTGCAAATGTGTGCTAACTAAACTTCTGTTTTTAATGCATACTGTTAGACAGGTTAATTCAATTTGTTTGCAGGCTGATTAGCAAGCTGAGCTGGAATTTTTCTCTTTTGTTGTTTGACATGTGTCACCCTTCCATGTGCTCTTTTCTGTGAAGGCCAGTTATAGACTGGGGCAGCGGTCATTTTTTGTACTCGTACTAGGATCAATATAGCGTCAACAGTTTGCACAGCGTTTTACAATTTAAAGGGAGACAGTACAATTAAAATACATTTCAGTGGTACAAAAGGTGATAGCTGCAGGGGATGATCTGATGGAGGTGGCTCCAGTCTAGTTTTTAGGTGGAGGTGGGGTAGGCTTCCCTGAAAAGGTGAGTTTTCAAAGATCGCCTAAAGGCAGACAGGGTGGGGGCTGACCAGACATAATGGGGTAGGGACTTCCAGAGGATGGGAGAGATTCTGGAAAAGTCCTGGAGGCGAGCATGGGAGGAGGTGATGAGGGAGATAGAGAGCAAGATGTCGTAGGAGGAGTGGAGTGGAGGATTTGGATGATATCTGCGAAAGAGATTGGTGATGTAGCTATGGGCAGTGTTGTGGATGGCTTTCTATGTTGTGGTTAGAATTTTGAATTTTATACATTGGGTTAGTGGAAGCCAGTGAAGGTAACAGCAGAGAAGGGCAGCAGTCGCTGATTGGTTGGTAAGATGTATAAGTCTAGCAGCAGCATTCATAATTGAAGAGGGGATAACCTGTGTAACGGTAGACCAGTGAGGAGGGAGTTGAAGTAATCAAGACGAGATATAACCAAGGCATGGATAAGTTAAAACCCTGTTTTTAACGCATACTGTTAGACAGGTTAATTTGGTTTCTTTGCAGGCTGGTTGGCAAGCTGAGCTGGGAATTCTTTTCTTTTGTTATTTCACATGCGTGGACACTTTCATGTGCTCCTTGCTATGAAGGCCAGTTATAGGCTGGGGAAGCAGCCATTTTTTGTACTGTTGAATTGTTGGTGAGGGGGTGCACTGGACACCTTGGCTGCCATTGTGTTACATGCTGAGTGTCCAGAGTGCTCCTGTACCTTTAAGGAGGGGTGGGCTCCCTCAGGTCCACCTGCCCTTGGTCTATCCATTAAATTCATGTGCCTCTACTATGGGGGCTCTGATAGTTAGGAACTACAGAATATCGGGGTGCCGTGACGAGGCTCTGTAGCTTATGCATGTATTTGCAAATGTGTGCTAACTAAACCCGTTAACGCATACTGTTAGACATGTTAATTTGGTTTGTTTGCAGGCTGGTTGGCAAGCTGACCTGGGAATTTTTATTTCTTGTTGTTTGCTATATTGATCCAGTATAATAATAATAAATCCCAAAAATAAGATGAATATTCCTAATTTTAGGACAGTGTCATGCAAATCACCCCTTTATGACGTGTTCTAAAAGGCACTATGCACTAATTTGGTTGGAGCGTTTTTTGATTCCTTTAGGCCTTAATGGTATACTTGCTTACACAGCAGACAATACAAGACTCATTAGAGAGAGAGACAAGTAAAGCCATCATTTAGAAAGTTTACACATCAAAAATGCTTTCAAACAACATATGAAGTGACTCAAGACTTTACACTTTGGTTTTATGGATTTCTAACCATACAAAAGGCTCATAAATGTCACATACCCATCATCCTATAACCTGTATGACTAGTTCTATACAAAAGTAAATATTTCGTCCTTATGGTTAGAACTGAAAAGAAACCTGACATTTTGGGGCATAGAGATCCATGAGTTACTTACTATGGTGCATTGGACTGGCTCCCATAGTTTTTAATGTTGGCCGCTGCTGTTATCCCACAGACAATGATAGGAATGCCACCACCGATCAAATAAAACCTTGAGGAACAAAATGAAAAAAATAATTCATTGTTAACAAAATGACTTTAAAAATATTTACAGAAGTGTTTCCGTGATAGCTTCCTACTGCTGTTGAACTGCTGACTAATTTAGTGAAACTTCCTGCAAACATGACCCTTTCATTCATCACATTCATGAAATTACAACGGCAAACACATTGTTTTTGGAAAAAGGCCAAATGTTCAAGTTATAAAAAGAAAAAAGTAGTAAGACCTTGTGCTGCCACCTCGTGGACAATTATTACTACATATTTCTCAGGCATGTAGAAGGCATATGTGTTGGGGACAGCTTAGCCACTTTCCTGTTGTACTACAGACTGCCTTCATTATACGGAGCTAGTCAAGAAGGAACGAGTTTTTATAGGTGCAATTCAGTAGTCAGAGAATTTACTCTAGACCAGGGGTCTCCAAACTTTCTAAACACAGGACCAGTTTACTGTGTTTCAAACTCTAGGGGGGTACGGGGTGCAGGATATGGTCTGTGGGAGTATAAAATGTATTGGCATCAGTGGGAATAAACAATCTCCCATATTTGGTATTAGGGGAATTATTAGTGCCCCATCATTTGGTGTCAGTGGGAGGAATTGTGCTCCAACACTGGTGTCAGTGGGAGGAAGAGTGCCCCGTCACTGGTGTCAGTAAGAGAAAGAGTGCCCCACCTTTAGTGTTAGTGGGAGAAAGTGTGCCCCGTCATTGGAGTCAGTGGGAGGAATAGTGCCCCATCATTGGTGTCAGTGAGAGGAAGAGTACCCTATCATTGGTGTCAGTGGGAGGAAGAGTACCCCATCATTGGTGTCAGTGGGAGGAAGAGTACCCCATCATTGGTGTCAGTGGGAGGAAGAGTTCCCTGTCATTGGTGTCAGCAAGAGCAAGAGTGCCCCATCTTTGGTGTCAGCAGGAGGAAAGGTGCTCCATCATTGGTGTCAGTGGGAGGAAAAGTGCTCCATCATTGGTGTCAGTGGAAGGAAGAGTACCCCATCATTGGTGTCAGCAAGAGGAAGAGTGTCCCATCTCTAGTGTGAGTGGGAGGAAGAGTACCCCATCATTGGTGTCAGTGCTTACCTGAGCCTCATCGCGATCCAGTGATGTGAACAACAGCCTCGGCTGTCCCGGGTCTCTGCCACCTCATTGGCTGAGACACCAAGTGGGAGCAATTGGCTTCCGCTACTGTCAATCACAACCAGTCAGCCAAAGAGGAGAGAGGGGGTGGAGCCAAGCCACGGATCCATATGTGAAAGGACACACAGAGCAGCGGGTGAGCCCCCATAGCAAGCTGCTTGCTGTGGGGGTACCCGACAGGAGTGAGGGAGCAGGAGAGCCTGCGGGGGACCTGAGAACAGGAGGATCCAGACTGCTCTGTGCAAAACCACTGTACACAGTATGCAAGTATAGCATATTTGTTAATTTTCATTAAAAAAAATGAACCTTTAGAATTTCTTCCAGTGCATGCCATTTCTGGCACTTTTTGTTCAAATGTAACAATCACTGCTAGAAAATTACTTAGGACTCCCAAGCATTATATACTTTTTTAAAGCGGAGGCCCTCGAGAATAAATTGGTGGGTTTTGAATTTTTTTTATATCCCACGGTAGTTCCCAATTTTATGGGAAAAAATACACTTTTTTAAATTGTATTGCAAAAAACACAATACTTAACCCATTTTTTGGTAAAATATAAAACATTATGTTACACTGAGTAAATAGCTACCAAACATGTCACACTTTAAAATTGTGCATGCCCGTGCAATAGCGGCAAACGGCATAAGTTTTACTATCCATAGATGACGCTTTAAAAGCCTTTACAGGTTACCACTTTAGATTTACAGAGGAGATCTGGTGCTAGAATTACTGCCGATGATCTGACGTTCATGGTGATATCTCACATGTGTAGGTTGATTTCTGTTTGTATGCGTACGTGCGGGACTGACACATGCGTTCACCTTTGTGTTCAAGCATGGGGAAACAGGGCACTTTAAATTTTTTTTAATTATTCATTTATTTAATTTTTTATATTTTTACACTGTTCCTTTATTTTTTTTGTCTTTTATTCACCTTTATTGCTGTCACAAATAATGTAAACATCCTTATGACATCTCCTAGATTGTAAGCTCGAAAGAGCAGGGCCCTCGATCCCCTCATGTTTTGCATTGTATTGGTATTGTTCTATGAATTCTTATACTGTACCGCGCTCCAATATTATCAACCTTTTGTGATTAACCTTTTTTGGTTGTGTGAATTTCTTAATATACCACCTATAATCCAATCATTACTTACTTCTATGGTGCTTAAATATACAATTAACATAAATTAATTTATAAATATGAATTAGAAAATTATATGTGATTATAACAAATATTAATAAAAAATTAATGAAAAATTGGAATGTCAATTCTATGTGAATAAAATAATAACAAATTAATAAAACATAAAAAAAAAAAAAAAAAAAAAAAAAAAAAAAAAAAAAGGGAAATGTCAATTATTTTCTTTGAATTTGAGATGGTGTTGTTATTCAATTTAGTTAATGTGATAAGTCTGTGTTGGCAGCTTGAACCTCTCCCTCGTCTCCTCTCTTTGTGCTTTCTTCACTGGTTGCTTTGTTTATTCCTCCATATACGGAACATGCAGAGAAGGGAAAAGAAACATAGTGTCTTATCCGGGATATAAGTGATTTATTGCTCTTTGATCTCCCACTCACATTGTGTAAATGTAAATAACGCTTTGAATACAATGTAACAAGATCCTGCTTCAGACAGCCTGGCTGATGTGTTTGCTTGCAATAAATATACTCGCCGTTCCTCTGTGGATGCGTGATAACGTCACCGCCCCTCCCCTACGCGTTACGCTACAGGGACTCGTAGCTTCCTCTGGGGGATGTGGATTTGCATTCCATCATTCACAGAGGCTATTTATATCCTGCCGGCTCCATTTTTGCTGTGATTTGTTAACTATTCGTTACCTCTCCATGACTTTGGAGTTCAGACTATATCTCAATATTATTCATTGTATATATACAAAGTGCGCATCATCATCCTTCGGCTGTATACTTAATGCTTACATCCACACCCCTCACAATCTGGATTACAATCTTATATTTGATCATCTTTCCACAAAGTTTATTAATATCTAAAATTTAACTTAAACATATTATTTACCATACTTTATTGATTCAGACTTTTAATTCTTAAAAAAATATATATATATACCCTACACTCAATTTAAATTTAATATGAAATAAATTTAAATAAATAAAATTACATATATCTATATAAAAAATCAATAATAATGGAGAGTATACAATTTATTAAAAAATTTTTTTTTCAAAATAAACAAAATTAAAATATATAAAATAAAATAAAAATAAATTATATAGAAATAATGCAAAAAAAAAAAAAAAAAAAAAAAAAAAAAAAAAAAAAAAAAAATTATAATAAAAAATAAAAAATAATAATTAATAAAAATTACAATAAAAAAATTGAATTAAAAAAAAAAAAAAAAAAAAAAAAAAAAAAAAAAAAAAAATAATAATAATAATAAAAATTACAATAATAAAAAAAAAAAAAAAAAAAAAAAAAAAAAAAAAAAAAAAAAAAAAAAAAAATTTAAAATGTTTATCTAAAATTCTTTAAGTTTAATATTATGCGGACTAAACTTACATACTACTTTGAAATGCTTGTGTATGCTATTGTATGCTTAATCATTAATCCTTCTATTTTCCCCTTTATTATGTTCTATATTTAATAATCGCTCAAGAAACAGGCTAAATCAAATTCCTTGTTTAATCCCAAAGGATGCAAGGAATTCATTAGATATATCCACTGGGATTCTTTCTTACTTATTTCTCTAATGAGATTGTCTCCTCTCCAGTGTGCCTCCTTATGCTTCTCTATTCCCCAAAATTCTAGGCCTTCTGTTTTTTTGTTCATGGTATAGTTTGAAATGTAATGATACATTATGGTATTTATAACCTTTTGCAATGTTCCGAACATGCTCCTTTATTCTCTCTTTTAGCCTGCGTTTTGTTCTTCCTATATAAATTTTATTGCACGGACATTTCAATGCATATACTACCCCCTTGGTGTCACATGATATGAATTGTTTTATCTTAAATGTTTTACCACTTATCAAATTATTGAAATGCATTCTTTTTCTGGGGTTATTTTTTTGTTCTGATACAACTATAACATCTTCCACACTTATAAAATCCAATTTCCTGAAAAAAAAGTAAGTGTATTTTGTTTAGGTGGATTTAATACGTTCTTCACTATCTTGTCTCTGATATTGGGGGCTTTTTTATAAATAAATCTTGGATTTTCAGGGATACTATCTTTTAAATCTTTATCTAGCTTTAATATGTCCCAATGTTTATTTATTATCTTTGCACATCTTTATATTGCTTATTGTACGGCATTATAATAGTCATAACATTGTCCATACTATTGTTATTCTGACTTTTTGTTAGTAATTTGTTTCTATCTAGTACTCCTACCCTTTCTCTTTCTTCTACTATATATTCTTTTTTGTACCCTTTATTAATAAATCTCTTTATAAGGATGTCACTCTGTTCCTGGTAATCAATATCATGTGTACAATTTCGTCTCAGTCTCATAATTGTATTCACATAGAATTGACATTCCAATTTTTCATTAATTTTTTATTAATATTTGTTATAATCACATATAATTTTCTAATTCATATTTATAAATTAATTTATGTTAATTGTATATTTAAGCACCATAGAAGTAAGTAATGATTGGATTATAGGTGGTATATTAAGAAATTCACACAACCAAAAAAGGTTAATCACAAAAGGTTGATAATATTGGAGCGCGGTACAGTATAAGAATTCATAGTTTAATTTCATACACCTAGAGAGGGTGTAATTAGTACCTGGCGATCCAATATTTAATTAATATTCACTTAAGCACACAATTAACACTAATAATAGAGTAAGTTAACTCCTGGTGGCTCACAAATAACTATTCTACTAAAATTGGTATTGTTCTGTCACATGTTCTGTTCCCCTCTGTAATGTACAGCGCTGAGCGAATTATTGGCGCTTTATAAATACTGTATAATAATAATAATAATAATGACAGCAATATGCACGTGACAGGTACTCTTTATGGAGAGATCTGGGGTCTATAAGACCCCAAATCCCTCCTCTGCACTTAAAAACATTCAAAAACACCAAGATCGGTGTTTCTGAATGCTTTTATTTGTTAAAAATGGCGCTGTTTACTTCCGAGTAAACCGGCAGTGATGTCAGGTCATTGCTTCTGGTTTACTGTAATGGAGAGCAGATCAAAGCCTATCCCGGCTTTGATCGGCTGTCCGGCCAATCAGCACATGCACCAGCTGGTCTCTTGGGTCTTCCGGTGGGACAGGAGTTGCCCAAGAGAGCGTCAGAAGGCAGCGGAAGGGAGGGGGCTGCTTCGATTGCTATTACAAGAGAGCCGACTGCCGACTCTAAAAAACGGTACTACTGCTGACTCTAAAAAACGGTACCAAGGTATAACTACTGAGGGTCCAGCAAAGCACCAGTATGTCGCTGGACGGAAAGTGGCTAAAAGTAGATGCCAGCACTAAGGCAGTGAGAAGGTTTCCTTCATGCAGGGAATGAAGTAAATTTTGTCTATATGTTGTGCTTATACGTCTTACATAAGTACCTGAAATAAATGTCACTGTTCCATATTAAAAAGGTATTTTGGTCACATCCCTGACTTTTCAGCAGGTGATAAGGCTGCTGAACCATAATCCTGGTAAATTTTCTACATCGTGTCTTCTACTCTAATTTCCTTTGGCGTGGTGGAAAGAATCCCATTGTCCCAAGTATCAATTCTGTCACTATTATAACACGACACAATATATCGAATATCTAGGAATCTGGCGACTACTGAAACAGGCTCTTGGACCCCATTCGGAGTCCTCATCCACAGGATGAAATCTTCTGTTCTAGGGCAGATAGCACGTTGAGGCCTTCTGGTTCACATTTTATGACACATACCTGAGCATTGGCCTAGGAGGAGGAGGCAGTTCATCTGGATCCTGACAGCGCTTGGCTTTCTTGGTGACCTGTTTATAAATGTTCCGACCTGTGACTCCTACCCAGAGCACTGTGGCCAGTGTGGAGTAATGGAGAAGAATACCAATCTACAAAATAAAGGATGCAATATATTTAAAGGCTAATTTGAAAATACAAAACTAAAAAACATTATTCATAGACCGCCGTAGAACTGAACTCATACACCCATAGCAATAAATACAATTCAAGCTTTTCTTGCTAGAAACATTGGATAATATGCATAAAAATATAAGCAATATTTATACACATTTTGAGAAGATACAGTCAGGTCCATAAATATTGGGACATCGACACAATTCTAACATTTTTGGCTCTATACACCACCACAATGGATTTGAAATGAAACGAACAAGATGAGCTTTAACTGCAGACTGTCAGCTTTAATTTGAGGGTATTTACATCCAAATCAGGTGAACGGTGTAGGAATTACAACAGTTTGCATATGTGCCTCCCACTTATTAAGGAACCAAAAGTAATGGGACAGAATAATAATCATAAATCAAACTTTCACTTTTTAATACTTGGTTGCAAATCCTTTGCAGTCAATTACAGCCTGAAGTCTGGAACGCATAGACATCACCAGACGCTGGGTTTCATCCCTGGTGATGCTCTGCCAGGCCTCTACTGCAACTGTCTTCAGTTCCTGCTTGTTCTTGGAGCATTTTCCCTTCAGTTTTGTCTTCAGCAAGTGAAATGCATGCTCAATCGGATTCAGGTCAGGTGATTGACTTGGCCATTGCATAACATTCCACTTCTTTCCCTTAAAAAACTCTTTGGTTGCTTTTGCGGTATGCTTTGGGTCATTGTCCATCTGCACTGTGAAGCGGCGTCCAATGAGTTCTGAAGCATTTGGCTGAATATGAGCAGATAATATTGCCCGAAACACTTCAGAATTCATCCTGCTGCTTTTGTCAGCAGTCACATCATCAATAAATACAAGAGAACCAGTTCCATTGGCAGTCATACATGCCCACGCCATGACACTACCACCACCATGCTTCACTGATGAGGTGGTATGCTTAGGATCATGAGCAGTTCCTTTCCTTCTCCATACTCTCTCTTCCCATCACTCTGGTACAAGTTGATCTTGGTCTCATCTGTCCATAGGATGTTGTTCCAGAACTTTGAAGGCTTTTTTAGATGTCGTTTGGCAAACTCTAATCTGGCCTTCCTGTTTTTGAGGCTCACCAATGGTTTACATCTTGTGGTGAACCTTCTGTATTCACTCTGGTGAAGTCTTCTCTTGATTATTGACTTTGACACACATACACCTACCTCCTGGAGAGTGTTCTTGATCTGGCCAACTGTTGTGAAGGGTGTTTTCTTCACCAGGGAAAGAATTCTTCTGTCTTCCACCACAGTTGTTTTCTGTGGTCTTCCGGGTCTTTTGGTGTTGCTGAGCTCACCGGTGCATTCCTTCTTTTTAAGAATGTTCCAAACAGTTGTTTTGGCCACGCCTAATGTTTTTGCTATCTCTCTGATGGGTTTGTTTTGTTTTTTCAGCCTAATGATGGCTTGCTTCACTGATAGTGACAGCTCTTTGGATCTCATCTTGAGAGTTGACAGCAACAGATTCCAAATGCAAATAGCACACTTGAAATGAACTCTGGACCTTTTATCTGCTCATTGTAATTGGGATAATGAGGAAATAACACACACCTGGCCATGGAACGACTGAGAAGCCAATTGTCCCATTACTTTTGGTCCCTTAATAAGTGGGAGGCACATATGCAAACTGTTGTAATTCCTACACCGTTCACCTGATTTGAATGTAAATACCCTCAAATTAAAGCTGACAGTCTGCAGTTATAGCACATCTTGTTTGTTTCATTTCAAATCCATTGTGGTGGTGTATAGAGCCAAAAATGTTACAATTGTGTCGATGTCCCAATATTTATGGACCTGTCTGTATGTTACAATATCAAACATCTATCAATACTGTGTAAGTGAACTTTTAACACACTAGCCTGTTTAATATGTACAGGTCATTAAAGCAAGTTTGTAATTGTTGCTGCTGATGTCTGAGACCTCATCCAAAATCCTTAATAGATAACAAATATTGCTTGTGAAAGATGTCTGCACTAACAGTAATTTCTGCAGACAGCATCCCAGAAAGCACCTCCAGCATTGTATTAGAAATTCATATCCCCATAATGCTATGATATCACAATCTGTCCATATTATAAGATAAGAAAATGTATTCATTTGCACTTGTACATAACCCTTTAAAACCAATGCTTACTTAAAGAGATTGTAAAGCTTCAAAGTAAAAAAACAAACATGTTATACTTATGTTCTCTGTGAAATGGTTTTGCACAGAGCAGCCCTGAACCTCCTCTTCTTGGGTCCACTTCAGCGTTCTTCACTCCTAATCTTCTTGGTGTGCCCCTATATGAAACAGCTTGCTATTGTGGCCCTACGGGCTTTATTCTGAGGAACTCTGCCTTTGTCTATAGACAGACAGTGTGGCTCAGAACCCCCCCCCCCCCCAACTCTGCTCACAGAATTTGACTGACAGTCGCAGGAGCCAATAGCATCCGCTGCTGCATCTGTGAGCAGAGAAAGTGAGAGAGTGGAAAGAGCAGCTGCGGTCAGGGAAAAGCACTGGACTGAGATCAGGATTAGGTAAATATAAAGGGGTAAGGAGGTTATACAGATACAGGGACATTTTTTAATGTAGGGTTGGTCAGCTTGCATGGTATTTAAAGATGTATTGATTATGCCTTCATATAACAAAGGAACCACAGAATGTCCATCTATATTAAATACCAAAAGAAAAACTATATTTGAAGTGATGCCCCCCATCCCCTGTACTGCATAGATTAAATACTTAATTAACACTAGGGGATAAGTACTAAGCTGTAATACTTCCCTCACTTCACCCCTCTCCTCCGCTCTGGCTTCTCATCGGCCCCTTGTCATTCTCCTGCACAATGCAGGGTTCTCGGCCTTGCATTATACTTGATAACCTCATTGTGGCCCAGGGTGCCTTAGACACCATTCATACAGGCATTTTGTGACTAGCTGTGCCCGCTGACAGCCTGTCAGTGTACGGGGGTCAATGGCTGCTGATATCCACAAGCAGCTGTCAATCCCAGCAGTAAGAATCCATAAATTCCTGCCACTGAGATTTGCAGTATGGCAAAATACCTGTGTGAATAGTGCCTTATAGAAGAGGCTTCGGGTACTGGCTGCATAGCTGGAGGGAAACCTGATGGAGTATTACACGTTATATTCCTCATCCCCTACAGTTAACAAGCCTTTAACTCTGGTAGTGTGAGGAGCCCATTGCAAGGATCATTTTTATGTAATTGCTTGGCTTTAATTGCTGGATGTCTATACTGCCCTCCCTTTTGGACTTTTCTAGAGTTCCTTGCACATCTGCTCTGGTTCTTTAGGAAACTCCCAGACTACACAGAATAGAAAAAATGGTTTCAGAAATTCACTGCAACACACTATCAGCCATGAAAACAAGGACAACATGATAATGGGAAGGGGTTAAACAAACTTCTAGACGCAGAAGCCCACATATCCAGCAATACATCTGCACAAAAAAATGGAAGGAATGAATATTATCCACCGGTACTTCTGAGCCCGTCATACTTACAGCCTGACACACACTGGAGTTTCTGGTCTGATTGATGCCACCAACATACACTGCACAGGTCAGGAAGATGTGAAGACCCAGGTTTACCAACATGTGCCAGCTTTTAAGGCTGATTCGTATCACGCTGCAAACAAAGCAAAAAAGGAAGTTCGAGAACCATGTTTAAGATCACAGGATTTTAATAAACAAAAGCTTAAAGGAGATGTGCCACCTTAGAAACTACAGAAAGCATATTGCATTTATTTAGGCTTCCTCCTTAGTACATTTCCCCCCCAGTCAAAAATCACATTTCATACTTAAAGTGTTACCAAACCCAGGACCCTGCATTCACTATATCTGGTCTCACACAGTACACACAACATGGAAATGCAATTATTTTAGTACATATAAACTGCTAAATACTTTTTCTCATCAGCAGTATATAGCAGTCTTGTGACTTCTATCAGTGTCCAGCTAAGCACCGGTTAAAGCTTGTAAAAGGAGTTTTCATTCTCCTTCGACTGTCCTATGAGGCTGCATAACTCCTGACCCTCTGCCTGGACAGTGCTGATTGGTCCTGGGCAAATCAAATGCACACTCCCAAAGAAATGAAAAACTCCCTAGCCATACACACTAAACTGAGCATGTGTAGAGGGACTGCTAGAGCTCTGCAGATGGATTAGGGGACAGTAGAAGAAAGGGAGGATCAGAGAAGATGGGATCAAACAGCCTTTTTACACAATGTGGAGGATAACCTCTTAGGTTCCACAGTGAGTATAACAAGCATGCTTTACTGCATATACAGACTGATTTTACTGTTGTGGGTTTAGTAACACTTTAATTCTGAACTACAGGTAAAAAATAAAACAGAAACAAAAACAGTAAACCAGCTATGTATGCAGTGAAAATTATTAAATACGTTTTTACAACATAACTAGCACAGGCACTTGAATCTGTCTTTATATCCCTTCAAACTGACTCTTACCTGTGATAGTATAAATAACTGACAATAAGCACCAGTAAGCAGAGCAGCAACACCACAGCAGATGCATAGACAACGGGATGCAGCAGAGACACAGGATGGGCATAGAATTCAGTCCCTGTTAAGTCCTAGAAAATAAATGTTATCTTAGAACAAATAGCAATGGAAACAACTAACAGCAGACACAATGACAAGCCTGCAGTAAAATTACTTCCTAAACAATTATTCGTGTGCTTTTGCTCCCTATATGATAAAAGAAAAACCTACATTGTGGAGCAGATTACAACATTAAAAGAAACGTATGGCATATTTCCAGTTGGCACATTTTTATTATTGCACATTTTAGAAGACTTTCATAGTTGTACAAACCTGCACTTCCATATTTTTGCTACTATATTAACTAAAGAGATTTGTACATTCGCCACCACTAGTGGGAACTCTTAATGCCTGTTTTAGTTACTCAATATCTCTCTCAAAAGACCACTATCACAAAATATGCTGTGATAACTTGAGGTTTAATATATTTAATCATAGTAGTCCGTATCTGCATTCCTTTTCTCACATATCTATATCTTTCTTTAAATTTACATGCAGACCAAGCTGTAGCACAAATGTAACAGTATCAGGGGTTGGGACAAACTAGAACAGTTCTCGGCGTGCTGGTAGGAATTCATATACTGAATAATATTATTGCATGTACTAACTTCTTACAGTTGGCTGAATACAATAGTTCTGCTAAAAGTGATCCTTTTGATTGGATAAAGTATGAGGCACATGCACAGTTGACTGACTTATGCAGGCCATTGACGGTTCGTTTATCAGCCAATTTTTCGCCCCGAAAGAATAATCAGCCGATTTTCGCACTGTTAGTGGGGCAATGGCATCATCTGATTTTTGCGGTTCCTTCTCATTTTGTTTATCGGTCATGCTGGAAAATGTGTGTGATAAACAGCCGATTTTCACAATCATTGGTAGCAACATCGGTTTACAGAACGAACAATGTTTCGTTTTTCAGACAAAAAAATCGGCTGATAAACTAACCATCCATGGCCTGCATTAGATTTGCAACATTGCATGAGAAGTTGTAAAGCAAAACCACTACGTGCCACTGAATAGCCAGCATCAAGGCCTGTAATATGTAATATAATAATATAGATCAAAACTGAGAAAAAAACAAGATGGAATTTTGAGGTGCCAGCAAAAAACACACAATTCTAAAATCCTTAATTTTTTTTTTCTTCAGGATATATATAAAAGACAAGGCCAAATATGTAAAATGGATCTACATCAGATACTATCCCCTAAGTTACACACACCAAACCTATCACAATACTGAAAACTTAACTACTGAGAAAAAAATAATAGTAATTAGGGTGTCTTTCAGACAATCTTGCTAAATCTTACCGTGTTTCATGGGAGCACCCCGCTTCGTCCGGAGGTGGGGTGAAAGGGTAAACTTAACATTTCAATATACAACAACCAAAACTATTGAACATAACCCAAAAAATAATAGTAGGCTCACCAAGCAAGGGTCTGACACCAAGCAGGGGAAATCACATTTGTATGGTTGAAGGCATGAGTTATCTCTCCCTGGGGGCAGGTGTGGGAGTCAAAATAAGGTGGTAAACAAATACAGGGAGAGATAGCCCATGGCTCCGATCATACACTTGTACTTTCCCTTGCTGGGGGCCTGGACCCTGGCTTGTTGAGCCTATTATTATTTTTGAGTTTTGATACTATATTCAATCCAAATTTAAAAAATGTTGTATGTTATACTTATGTATGTTTACCCTTTCAGCTCCCCTCACCTGCTGAAGAAGCGGGGTGCTCCTCCTAATCATGTTAAGATTTAGCAAGATTGCCTACCCATGGAAGATACCTTACCTACCATTTTGCTTTCACTTGTTACTTTTTCAGTATTCTGATATGTTCGTTGTCTGTAACTCTACGGGAGGTATCTGAGGGAGGTCCGTTTTACATTTTGAACTTGTCTTTTATCTGAGTGATTTTATATACTGTATGTCCTAACAATAAAAAATTTAATTATTTCATAATTGTGTGCCTTTTGCTGGCACCTCAAAAGTCCATCTTGCTTTTCTCAATTTTTGACCATACTAATAGGATGTTGGTGCCTTTGGCAATCGTCTGGCTTTGTTAAACTCTATTATACAAATATACACTCACAGGCCACTTTATTAGGTACACCTTGCTAGTGCCAAGAAAATATCCCCCGCACCATTACACCACCATCAGCAGCCAGAAACACATTGATACAAGGCAGGATGGATCCATGCTTTCATGTTATTTACATCAAATTCTGACCCTACCATCTGAAGGTCGCAGCAACCAGTCTGCCCATTCTCCTTTGACATCAATGAGGCATTTTCATCCACACAATTGCCGCTCACTGGATATTTTCTCTATTTCAGACCATTCTCTTTAAACCCTAGAGATGGTTGTATTTGAAAATCCCAGTAGATCAGCAGTTTTGAAATACTCAGACCAGCCTGTCTGGCACAAAGAACCATGCCACGTTCAAAGTCACTCCTTTCTTCCCCATTCTGATGCTAAGTTTGAAGTTCAGCAAGTCGTCTTCACCACATCTACATGCCTGAATGCATTGAGTTGCTGCAATGTGATTGGCTGATTAGCAATTTGTGTTATCAAGCAATTGAACAAGTGTACCTAATAAAGTGCATCCATGTACAAATATGCCTGCAATTCACAAATAGAAAATAGGATATTTGAACTCCCTGTAACATCCTTTTCTTGGGGAGTTCATTGGGGGATATAGGAGACCTCTGGGGTATAAACCCCACTCCTAAGAAAAAACACTGGCAAGATTTTACACCTCTTCCCTCCAAGGGAAAAAAAAAAAAAAAAAGACTATAATACTGTAAAATATATATATGTACACACACACACACATACATATATACATAGTGCTCAGCATAGATTTGTCAGATTTGACAGATTTGTCAAAAAAAATTACTTTCCTTGCAGAATCAACATTTTCTATGGAACACTATACTACAAAATACTCCAACGAATGTGGGCCATTGATTGCAAACAAGGTTTGTTAATTTGCACACACAAAAAAGTATTTTTCCTAACAAATTCATTCAAGACCATATTGCAAAAATGAATACACCCCAATTTAGCAATGCTAAATTTTAGACAACAATATTATAATTAACAAGAATTCAACTATAGGTGAGTCTAATTATTCATTAAACAGGTGTCCAGCAGACAGTTGATTATAAAAGGGAGTTAGAGAAAACCCTTTCTCATTTCATGCGGTCAGCAATGGCATCACATGGTAGAGAAATGTCACAAGATCTGAGAAAGATAATAATTTCTTTACACAAGAAAGGTGAAGGCTAAAAGAAGATCAGCAAAACTTTACTTATTAGTGGGAATACTGTACCATAGGTGATACAAAAATTTAACAAAGATGGAACTACAACCATCTCACAGACTGTCCACGGAAGTTAACACCTCAAAAGCAGTGTCTTCTGATGAGAAAGGTTAAAAAAAAAATCGCCATGCAAGTTCACTGCAGTTAGATAAAGAAGTAGAAAGCCAAACTGGGGTGATAGTTTCCTGTGACACAATATGGCGTACACTGCAGAGGAATGGCATGCATGGGTGTCGTCAACAAAGGAAGCCTCTCCTAAATCCCATGCACAACAAAGCCGTCTAGAATTTGCCAGGGCCCATGCTGAAAAAGAAGACGACGACTACTGGGACTCCGTATTCTGGAGTGATGAGACCAAGATAAATATTTTTAGAACTGATGGCTTCAAAACTGTACAGTGTCACAAAGGTGAAGAGTACAAAGAAAAATGTATGGTGCCTACAGTGAAACATGGTGGTGGCAGTCTCCTTCTGTGGGTCTGCATAAGTGTTGCTGGTGTCTGAGGGCAGCATTTCATTGATGGTATCATGAATTCACAGATGTACTGCTCTATATTGAAAGAGAAGATTCTACCATCATCCCATGCCCTTGGTCGTCGTGCACTTTTCCAACATGACAATGATCCAAAACACACATCTAAGGCCACTGTTGCATTTCTGAAGAAGAACATGGTGAAAGGGATTCAATGGCCAATTAGTTCTCCTGATCTGAACCAAATGGGGAACACCTATGGGGAATTCTGAAGAGACAAGTTGAGCATCACTCTCCATCCAGCATCCAAGCTCTAAGAGAGGCCGTTGTTGAAGAATGGAAAAAGATAGCTGTTGCAATATGTTGCCAACTTCTTCATTCCATGCCTAGAAGACTTGGTGCTGTCCTTACAAATCATGAAGGTCATACAAAATATTAGATGGAGTAGTTTTTGTTGTGGGGTGTCTTCATTTTTACATCAACTAATTTGAGTAATACTGAAGATTTTGTAATCTAAGTCATATTACTTACCTTACTTTCATGTAATGAGCTAAACAAATATTCTATAAAACTCAGTTTTGACAAAATTTGATGTGTGTTCATTGAGATATTAAAATCTTACTTTTCAAAAGGGTGTACTCATTTATGCTGAGCAGTGTGTGTGTGTAGATAGATAGATAGAAAAAGCAACTAGCTTTGTTTTTTGTTTATTCAGGAGGTGGAACAACACAGACATATTACTATAGTGTAATACATAGGTTTTTCTCCCTGGATTTGTTACCAGTCTTTACAGATGTGTAATGCCAGTGTGTATGGTGCTTGGGGACTTATGACATCATGACTCTCACCATTAGTCACTGCATAGTTGTAAGCGTGTCAGTTTTGTACATCATCTTGCATGCCTCATGGGAAATGATAGTTCCACCTTGTCCATTAAGTGGATCAAAATCCCACTGTTTGCCCAGGGTCCTTTCCATGCTATAGTGTAATACATAGGATGGTTTTTCGGTTTGGACCATTGCAGAAACCAGTATTTACAGATGAAAATATCTGTGTATAGGGGTGCTTGGGGACTTCATATAGGGGGTGACTTAAATCATTAAATCATCATTAACACTTTGTGCATGTTTTGTCTTTGCTAAGCAAGTGTAAAGTCACACTGGTGTATAGTGGTTACATTCTCATCTGATGCCAATGCATATCTGGCAGGCTGTTGGTGATTTCCATCCGCTTATGTTGTCCATTAAGTAAATCTAAAATCCCAATCATTAAACTGAGACATATTCATGCTACAGGGTCCTTTCCATTGCGCAATAATGCACGTATCGTTAGTGTGAGTGTTTCTCCTCACTTCCTGCCTGGTGTAATGGTGGGAAGGTTTGGACGGAATTGGACAAAAATCTCTCAAAAAAGCCCCCAGACATATTAACAAAAATGAAAATATCTCCAAAAACTATAGGGCCCCACTTTAACTGAGTTTCTGAGACTGTCTCAGGGCTTATATTTGGGGGGTGTTGTGAAAAGGAAATCAGCTATAGGCAAAACGTTTTTTTTTTTTTCCATTTTAAATGATATCTAATGGATATGACCGTCAGATTTTTTTTTTTCACCCATTTGTGTTGATTTCCCTTCACTTCCTGCTCCATAGCCAAACAGGAAGTGAGAGGAAATGCCAACAAATTATGGGAATTTCTTGGGGACCCCCAGGTCTCACCAGAACTCTATTGTTGAGGACAACCCATTGCCTTTGATGTTTTGTTTTGTCTTGTGGAGGCTACAGAACAAGTGTAAAGTCACAGCTGGTGTCACACATGGGAAACATGGGCCACATGCATCATCTGTGTTCCATTGGAAGATTTTCCAGTCTGTTGGTGGGAATGCCAGATTTTCTACTAATCCTTTCTTAGTATGTAATTTAATAGAGAAATGACCATTATGCTGGGCGATATAGCATTGAAACACATAGGATTAATCTCTCCCGAATCATTAAACTGGAGACACTTTATTCATCTCAAAGTTGTTTGGGTATTGTGTAGACCTTAGCAATATACTGTTGGATAGAGTAAGGGAGGGTCATATGTTAGATTTTTTTTTTTTTTCACTTCCTGTCCCTAGCCTGTTGAGAGTGTAAATGCCTCTAAAGTGGAGGAATTTGACTTCCTGTCACCAGGGTGTAACTAGTGTCCCCATTTGAAATCTTTCATCACAGTCATGGCCGAAATTGTTGGACCCTTGAATTTTTCCTGAAAAAAGTATTCACACAAAAAAGGTATTGCATTAATAATGTTTTGCTATACCCCCTTTGTAATTAAATAGAAAAACAAAGGCAGAAAAGCCTAGCATAATTCAAAACCCCAAAAATGGGCTAAAATTGGCACCCATATCTTTAACTGTAATGTTTATGGAGACTGGCGTCAAGGAGCTAGTTTAGTGGTTTGGCAAGTGCTTTTTGTTTTAGTTGGGTTCTACGGTTGTGAAAAGGATTAAAGCAGAGCTATAGGCAAAACTTTTTTTTTTTTCCACATTTTAAATAGAGAAAGGAATGGACTATGAACTCTCCCGTCATCCATTTTTTTTTCACCATTTGGGGTCATTGTCCCACTTTGGGAGAGCTTTTGACACTGGGCCCTTCGACCCAAAATCCTTTGTAATCCTCAGATTTCATGATGCCTTGCACACAGTCAGGCAAGTGCCAGAGGCAGCAAAAAACCCCAAAACATCATTGAACCTCCACCATATTTTACCGTAGGTACTGTGAATTTCTTTGTAGGCCTCCCAGGTAAACACCAGAACTGATGTGCTTTACCGAAAAGCTCTATCTTGGTCTCATCTGTCCACAAGACTATTCCCAAATTTTGAGGCTTACTCAAGTACAAAACTGTAGTCTTGATTTTTTTATGTCTCTGTTCACAGTGGGGTCCTCAATGGGTCTCCTGAATGCGTCATTTAAATGTCAGGACAAGTTAGAGAGCTGACACTGATGTGAGCCTGCAGGACAGCTTAATGTCTTTGGAACATGTTTGGGGCTGCTTATCCAAACTATTCTCATAGGATCTTTCATAATTTTCCTCATCCAGTCTATCCAGGGAATTAGCTACATGCCATTGTTTGCAAACTTCTTGGTAATGTTGCGCACTGTGGACAAAGGCAAATCTAGTTAGATTTATGGGCTTTAGGATAAGATTAAAGTAGACCTTGGTCTCTCCTTTTTATCTGCTTTCAGGTGTGATTTCTATATTGCCCTCAGACCTGTTTACTTGCCCCAGTGAGTTTTGCCCCAGGCAAAAACTCGTCCCCCCATTATGGATAGAGTAAGGGAGGGTCATATGCAAAGGTTGTGAAGTCTCTCCTTTTTATCTGCTTTCAGGTGTGATTTCCCCACACACCTTGTTACTTGCCCCAGGTGAGCCAGGAGCATCCATGCTTGTAACAATTTATCCGCAGTTGTGAGGGTGCCAATACTTTTGTCCAGCCCATTTTTGGAGGTTTGTGTGACATTATGTCGAATTTGCTTTCTTTCCTCCCTTTTTTTGTTTTGTCCCAATACACACAAAGGGAATAAACATGTGTATAGCAAAACATGTGTTAATGCAATATTTTCGTGAGAAATACATGATTTCCTGGAGAAATATCAAGGGTGCCAACAATTTCGGCCATGACTGGTGTCAACTCAGAATTTGGGATTTTCTTTTACTTTCACGTTCAATGGTAATGGTAAACATGACAAATAGAGGGGGTGGATTTTCCTAAGTGGGGCACAGACAGCTATACAAACCTGAAAAGAGTTCTAATCACTCTCCACTCTATCCAAAAAAAAAAAAGTTTGACTTAAGTAATATTTTAATAGTCCAGGTGGCCAGAAACCTACTCATTGATACAGTACATTGATTTATACCCGGGATACTAGTACAGCAAGTTGAATAACTGCTCTAAAACAATAAATAAATGTATATATGTATGATACTTTGAATCCTGACCCCCAATTCCTGTACGATCAGAACTGATTTTAGTACTGGTTTGTAATAGCAGCAAGGACTGCCACGCCTTTGAAAAGAGATATATTCTCAGATTGCTTTGACTCAGATTGACAGGCTTGCACACCAGCTAAATGAACATAACCAGGCTGCAACTGTGTGCAGTGTAGCCTCATTTACTTGGGGGTATACTTCCTGCATGTGTACACCCTCAGCTGCTGCCTCTGCAACTAAAGGGGGAGCAGTTGGGGGTGATAAAATGGCTCAACCATATGGTTTTGCCACCCTTCAACATAACATGTGAACAAGCCCTTGGTTCACATCTGTGAGGCTTCATGTTGCATGTAGGGCAGCTCATTGCGGTCAACTGGCTGCCCTTCCCACACAAATGAGAGGAAAGAAGTCCCAGATTCTTTTTTTTAAAAATAAAGCCACACCAAAAACACGTTTGCCAATGTGTAGGGCACCATTAAGAATAATAATGGCACCCTGCATGTCTGCTAAACAGCAGCACATTGGTTTGCATGTTAGGAATGTGCACGATTTTGCGCATGCTCCATGGCACACAGTAATATAAACTAAGACTGGGGTGCTTCGAGACTGAAAACACTTTTCAAGGCACCTTGACTGGAATACAGTTGAAAAACACTGGCATAGACTATCACCTTCTAATACCAGAAATGACCCATGTGTATATATATATATATATATATATATATATATATATATATATTTACATATCTGGAGGAAAGACAAGTATCTAGCTTGCAACCAATGATGTTCCAGCTGTCTAATTCCATTACGGAACCCGCTTGGCTGCTACATGAAATAAGTTTCCTTAATTTCATTGGCGAGAGCCAACCAAACTCACTATGGCTTCATAGAGTGAGCAGTGGTCCCTGGTACTGTATATAGACCTTGGATCCAATTCAAGTGGGACAACCAAGCATTCACATATGAATGTGTCTAAGATGAGGAGGCATAGATAGCTCTATACAAACCTAATTTGGCAAGGATGACCGGAGTGACCACTGAGCGCCTCTTGCCCTCATCTGCGAGGTGTGTGGAGTTTCCAGTGGCTGGGAAAAGCTTTCCATTTCTAAATGCAATCAGCTGAAGCTTGTACACCGATTCATCCACTGCTCTCCTCTCTCTTTTTTCTCTGGACCCAAACAAAGCAGCCGGCAGCTGGATAGAAGCTTCCACTACTGTGTTCTATGAAAACACAAGAAATAGTGATCATATTTACAGAGCAGGTATAAATGGTGCATTTCTACTGGCTGATCAATGGAGCACTCGCAAGGACATGAATATCAGCACAAGGGATGCCATATTGTTGGTTACCAATCAGCTAAACTGTATAGGAGGTTGCATTTTCATTAGACAGGCCTGCAATGCAATCATAGGAGACCATTCATAGGGAAAGAGACCATCAAAGCAACAAGTTCATTTTATGTGCATGTACACTAGTCAACGTACAACTGTAACACTTGTGGCTAGTTATTACTTCTAAAAGAGAATGGAGTAATCTCAAAGCTGAACTTTGATGCTGCTTCATTCTTTGACTAATTAGTGTAAAAATGCATCACACTCACAACATCTCAGCCCTCTGATGCTGCCTTACTCTATGACCATCAAGTGTATAAATCACACACACACCTCATCCCCTTTATCTGTAACCTGCCATAATAAAACACTGAGCAGTGCCTACTGAGAGGAGGCAAAATGAGAAATGTCCTTCCTGTCTGCAGCAGACTGAGGACACAGTTTTCTTAGGATGCTCCTCTTAGTCAGACCATGAGAGGTTGGGCCTAGTTAATCACTTGCCCTCTTGAGGATTTAACCCCCGTTATGACCAGCCTATATTTTGCTATACGGTACTGCGCTACTTTAACAGACAATTGCGCAGTCATGCAACACTGTACACAAATTAAATTTATATCATTATTTCATACAGAGCTTTCTTTTTGAGGGATTTGATCATCAATTGGGGTTTTTTTTGTGTGCTATAAATGGAAAAAAAAAATTCTTCATAAATTTAGGCCAAATTGTATTCTACTACATGTGTTTGGTAAACAAATATCCCAATAAGTGAATATTGATTGGTTTGCGAGATACTTATAGAGTCTACAAATGGCGGTATCTATACTGGAATTTTTATTTATTTTTTTATACTAATAATGGCAGCGACTTATAGCGGGATTGCGGATATGTGGCAGCACTGTACTAAAATGTAACAAATCATCACTCAAATTGGGGATAGAGGTCCAGGTGGCACACAACTTAAAAAAAAAATAAATAAAAAAGACTAGAAATTCTCTGAAGTCAGCCATAGACGGATCAAAGTTTGAATTCTGATCCATCTATGGGAAGGCCGGTTGTACTGAAGTTGATCTATAGATCAACTTCAAAATAACCAGCCTGTCATTTCTTTTTTCACCTGATCGCTGCCAGTGGCTATAGTCGCCAGCAGTGATCATTGTATTTTGCCAGTGGGGAAGTCTCCCTGCGCTCCCCACTGGCAGAATACAATAGTTATTCGGAAGGGATTCTTCATCAACACGGACTTTGTTAATGGGGAATCAAACATTTTTGTTTCCTTCAGCCTGTAGGCAAGTGCAGTCTACTTTATCCTCTGCAGGTGACACTCAACCACAGCGGCACTGCAGAGGGAGTCAGGAAAAAGTTAAGAGCAACATTCTCCTCTATGGTCTCCTGGGTCACTGGGGAAGCTATCCAGTTGTATGCTACCACCCCTTGTGACTCTGGTGGCCATCTTGGGTCAGGCACAGTCTATTTAAAACCCTGGCTCCTGAGCTTGGAACACATTCTGTGTGTAGGTAGGGTAGGGACAGGTCACCTGTTTGTCAGGGACAGTGAACAGTGGCAGGGAAAGGTTCCAGATGAGTAGGGAAAGGATAGGGACATGCCATCCTTCTCGAAATCCTGACATTTGGGTACAGACCAGCCAGGCCACACGTAGCTCTGTAAGACAGACGTTGTAGGCACATTCGAGACCTGCTCCATCATACATCTCTGTTTCATCTGAGTGCTCCTGGTCAGGTGTCTTCCGCTGGGCTGTTTGTGGAGTTTGAACTTTGTCTTTAATACAAGTACCGACTGCCTGCAACTACATCTCCCCACAAGCCTGTGGCAAATTGCATAATGTATGTCCTGCCTAACTGCCAGTGTTTGGAATCTAAACGGATTTTACTAAAGTTGTTAGATTCCTATTAGTTAAGACAGTCGTTGGAGAGTGGATAGTTAAAGGACAGAAAAGGAATTGGTAATCTGGGCTGGACAAATCTTGGGAGTCTGGAGAGAACTAGCTCAGAGAATTACCTTGTGAGATTATTATAAAATACTAAAAATTTCACACACATTCACTTGTTCACTAAACCTGCCTACTGAAGCCTACAATGGACTTCATACATATATACATATATGGTCTATTACCTTTAATGCCGATACACTGAAGGTGCTGGACACATTGCACTTAAAACTCAGCTGTTTATCCAAGTTCCCATCTGGGTCTCTTCTGCCAATTTCAGCTAACACAGCACGATCGGATGCTGCCAGTTTCTGAAAGACGGTACAGGTCATGCCAGTGAAGAGAGCAGACTTTATAACATAGGCCTCTAGAGCGATGTTTGGGGAGTACTGAAAGAGAATAGGAGAATTTGTAATACACAAACTGCACAAATTCAGTAGATATTATAAACCTACTGGCATTTAGGACTTACTGTGGAGTATACTTGAGCACCATTGGCCAGCCGATATGTAGCAATACGCTGTAAACACTGCACTATGCGGGTGCAAGCCTTTGCCTCTTTCTGCGCCATCCACAAAACATGCTCATCTGCCAGCATGATGTTACTGGCAATGTCCACCATAACATCTCCAAGCTGCAACACAATGGAAAAATAGATTATTCCAGCATATGAAAAATCCAGCCTTACTAATAAGCAGAGGGACGGTATGTCCTCTGGCTCATTCCGCCATTTGCTATAATGCTGCTACTTGGTCAAAGCAAAGGAAAAAATGCAAAAACACTTAACTTGTCCTTTAAATAATGGTGGTCTTTTTATAAGCATACTGCCCAACAATGGATATCTGATAAACATTTCATACAGATTTAAAGATTTAAAACAGTAAGATTGGTAAACACGGATTAAAGCTTATTTGAACCCTTGTAAAACAATCCATACAATTTACCACAGAAATTAAAAGGTACAACATCTGTGTACAGATATGAAAAAAAAAAAAGAAAGAAAGAAAATAAAAAAAAAATTATATATAATATATATATATATATATATATATATATATATATATTCATTCCCCTCTTTTTTTATAAGTGATCACATTCACTTTGTTCTCAGCTGCATAGAGAGCTGGGGGAGGAGAAACAGCATCACACTGGTCTTCCCAATGAATGGATGAGGGGGCTGTTAGGACAAGTCTTATCACTGGAGGAGAGCAGACTTAGTTCTCAGCACAGCTAGAAAACTTACCATGCTGTGCTCTCATACTTGTGCGGTTAGTTTTTCATAGGAAAGAGGGACTGGCAGGTACATCAAGGGTTTCACACAAAGGAAACAATACCTAAAGAACAGGATACTTTTTCATACAACTACATGGTACAGCAGGCACATGTCAGGAATATGAAATGTTGGGCTTACATATTCTTTAAGTACAATTGTTTCCGGACTTTTAATGTGGTTGGCCAGCAAATTCCCCACAACTTAATATGGTTCATGTGCAGACTCTTATTATTAACAGGTAGAGTCAAGGACTGATTTTATGGGTTTAGATCAGTTCATCCATCTAGACAATAGAATTTGCAATTTCACAACAGACAGAGCACCATTTCAAGCCAAAGTTTTCTCTGTAATGTAAGGTACAAACTTGTATCCTATTTTCTGACAACAGATCTCCCATTCATACTTTTTATGCAAACATAAAGCTGATATCCAGCTTTAGTTTCAGCAGAGGCATCCCTAGGGTTGGTGTCACCCAGTACGGTAACACGTGGTGTCACCCCTCCAGAGAGGAAGGAGTGGTGCTGGTGTAGCAGTAAAATGAGTATCCCGACCTGTGAAGATATGTATACCCTGAAGCAACTGTGCATGTGCAGGTTTCAGGCCAAAGAAACCGATCTCCGACTTTAGCACAGAGCTGCCACAGTTAACCCCTTACAGGCTGCAAACCGCTGACGCTGATCCCATTGATCACTATGGGTTGCAAGATCAGTTAACCCCTTATAGGTTGAACCTATAAGGGGTTAACTGATCTTGCAACCCATAGTGATCCTTGGGATCAGCGTCAGCGGTTTGCAGCCTGTAAGGGGTTAACTGTGGCAGCTCTGTGCTAAAGTCGAGAGATCGGCGATCGGCTTCTTCGACTTGAAACCGGAACATGCGCAGTTGCTTCAAGTGATGCATATCTTCACGGGTCCGGGATACTCATTTTAGTGCTGCACCGGGGGCAGCTGTCACTTTGCCGGGAATCCGGGATTACCCCAATAACTGGCCAGGACCTTCACAGAGTGCAGAAGCTCTGCTGGCATCCTGCTCCTGCACCTCCTGTGATGGTGTCACCCGGTGTGGCCCGCACCCCCCTAGGGATGCCACTGAGTTTCAGTTTAAATAGTTTTTTTGGGCCAGCTTGGCCTGAACAATTTCCCTCACTAACACGTGCAGCCATTGGATGTGCTGTATAAACTATATGGAGCTGAGGCTACATACAGTATACAGCAGAGTGTACCGGGTGTGAGACAAGACCTTCCTGTCTCACACTAGGAACATAATTGCGTTGGTCTGGCAGCGTTCAGCCATTCATTGGCAGATTTGTATTCTATCGATGAATACAAAGCTTACTCTAACTGGCTGTTTCAGAGAGGCAAGCTGATGATCTCACATTCTGAGAGGAAACAGCTGGAGATCAGCTTTAGGCCGCGTTCACATGATGCAGCACGCAGGAGTTTTGGTTCGCTTTCAGAAAATGCACCAAACACGCAGGACACACTATACAGTAACTCTATGGGAAAGCAGAGCTAACCTGCAGCAAACACTGTTGTAAGCTGCTCTGCACCCGCGGTACAGAACACCACACTGCAGAAGTATGAAAGCAGTCTTAAAAAAACTTAATGGAAAATAAAATGCTGCAGTAAGTTTATTATGTGTTTTTATATGCAATTTTTTAACACTTTTCTTATTGATTTGCAATGTACCTCTAAAGTTGCTAGGGAACGAACACACCAAAGAGTGTCAATTCTCTAGCACAGCCCTCTCCCCCTTTGCATGTCATAGCCCTCTCCCACTTTGCATGTCATAGCCCTCTCCGCCTTTGCATGTCATAGCCCTCTCCCCCTTTGCATGTCATAGCCCTCTCCCACTTTGCATGTCATAGCCCTCTCCCACTTTGCATGTCATTGCCCTCTCCCCCTTTGCATGTCATTGCCCTCTCCCCCTTTGCATGTCATAGCCCTCTCCCCCTTTGCATGTCATAGCCCTCTCCTCTTTTGGAAGTGTCTAATTATTGTCTGACCCAGCATCTCCGTCCCTCACTTCCCTACATAACCTTAGCTGCCTGGGAAGGAGTGAAGGGGAATACTAGAGAGCAGCACTCCTCAAACTATGGTCCACAGGTAGGTTGCAGCCTGCTGCCCACCCATATAATGAGAAGGCCCTGCATGCAGCCATGTGTATGACAGGTTGTCCAATGAACAGTGCATTCACATTATGCTGCTCTTGCACACTAGAGGACACGCACAAACACCTAAAAGGGCAGAGGCTGGTTTTAAAAAGGCCTCTGCCCACTTCGCTGTGCCATCTGGCTGTTTATGTACAACTGATGTGAATCTACAATATATATGTAAAGCTCTGCGTAAATAGACAGCACTATATAAGTACCTGATATAAATAAATAACTGTTGGATGGCAAGTGGTTAACTAAAAATGCGCAGATTATTTGCTATGTACTGAATATAACAGGAAACATGCGTTAGAACAGTCAGATGGAGTCGCCATGCCAACAACTGAGCAGACAATTAACTGCACTGAAGACATCATCGCGATGACCCACCCTAAGGCTAGGTTCACACCCGTGTGGGTGATTGTCGCTGCAGGACCACACTTGTTCTCGTAGCCGCAACTACCCGCACAGAAAAAAGCACTGCCACTCAGGAGATGCATGGGGGAGCCATTATTCCTAGAGGCACCCACATGCACTGAAAATCACAGCACGGCTTCCCACACTGGGAAACGCACTGCACTTGCGGTTTCCATATGAGCCGCATTTTAAAAAAAACTTGAAGGGACTTTTTTGCTGTGTTTTCCGGAGGCATAGAAGCCCATTCGCACAAAGCGCAGCTTGTAGAGCCACACAGGTGTGAACCTAGCATAAAGCGGTCATATTCACTACACTATGGCTAACAGAGGCCAATGAACCATCCACATCTGCGGGAGTTCTGTGTCCAAGTAGTAAGAATGTCTTCAAATAAACAGAAGATTATTAATAAAAATGGTCCAAGATTACCTCCTTGTATTTTTCTGCAAAGCGGCCAAATTTCTCGATCATTTCAGCAACAAAGATAACGTCCATCTTGTCAGAGAAGTTTGCAGCCTCCACTGTGTAGGCCAGAAGCTGCTTAGCTGTTGCAACTGCATTGGTGAGGTTTAGTGGCATCTGCAAAAAACAAATGTTTAAAGCATTTTGATAAGCAATACTTGCTTAGTAAATGACACTTTGTTCAGGTAGTTAATCACTTGCCCTGAGGATTTACCCCTCTTCCTGACCAGGCCATGTTTTGCGTTATGGAGCTGCATTACTTTAACTCACAATTGCGCGGTCATGCAATGCTGCACCCAAATTTATGTCCTTTTTTTTCCACGAATTGAGCTTTCTTTCAGTGGTATTTGATTGCTTGTGCATTTTTTTATTTTTTGTGCTATAATTAAAAAAAAAAAAGGACTGACAATTTTGAGAAAAAAAAAAACAATATTTTGACTTTTTGCTATTAAACATGTCCAGTAAAAAAATTAAATGGTTTACGTGAAAGTTTTAGTGTTAACAAACGGCGGTATAGATACTGGAATTTTTTTTTTTTTTACTAGTAATGGCAGTGATCAGCGACTTATAGTGGGACTGCGGCAGGCATTCTCACACTGGGGAGATCTGACTTGGTGTTACTGACATCCCCAGTGACACCAATACAGTGATCAGTGCTAAAAAAAAAAAAAAGCACTGACACTGTACTAATGGCACTGAGCAGGAAGGGGTTAAAAAGAGGAGCAATCAAAGGGTTAACTATGTGCTGGGAGTGTTTTACTAGTGGGCTGTGTCAGTGTGCTTCACTGTAAGTACACTGCTTTGGATAGCTGTGCACAGCCATCCAAAGCAGTATTCCTGAGCTGACAGGGAGGAGAACTGTTAGTAAACAAAACAGTTCTCCTCCCCATCGGAGATCACCGGGCACCGGCGAGTAATCGCTGGCCGGGACCCGGTGATTGACAGCCGCAGCCACGAACAGCGGCGCAAGTAAGGCACATGCGCCCCCTACCTGGAAATGCGAAATTGCGTATAAATACAAGTGATTTTTTGCGCACTCGTGCTGCCCTGTAGCAGTATTCTGCTATACAGCGGACAGGAAGCGGTTAAAAAAACCAGTATATGTTTACAGAACATTAGAAGGCCAGATGGTACCTTAGAATGTACCCAGATGATGTTAAAATACACCTAATCTTATCTAAAACCTTTCAAGGTGAAGAGCAGTGCTGAACTAAAGGTACTTCGTGGTACTTCAAGTAACTGTGCTATGTCTGAAACCAATGCCTGCGTTTCTGTGGTTCTCCTCGGATCCAAGGTCCATGATGTACATGGAACCTTCTGCCCAAATCAAGGATAAGCCTCGGCACTAAACCTATCCCGCTGTCATTCAATTGTGAAATGTCGCAACTTCTGTTAGCAGTGTAATCACTCCTTTGAGGATGATGAGAGAATAACAATTATGTACTTTAGATAAATTATCATCCATCATCCCAAATCCAGCAAGGAGATCCACCCTATAATGACTGCAGAGGATGTACAGAAAAGGTAAACAAGTATAGCTGCTAAAGTACTAAATACATAAGGGGAGCAAGACGGATATGCAAACTTCCATCATCTAACCAACACTGAAATAGGCATGAAATAAGTACAAACTAGCAATGTGTCATCTAAAGTGTCCACTCGGTTGTGTTCATGTTGAACACCAGTTGTATGGGCTCCTCTCTTTTATTGGAATTGCCTACTCTGATTTAACTGCACAGTGTGAGCTTCTCACAGTATGTATGAAAAGCAAGTCAGAGTGAGCCTGCCATATTTCCTGGCTCAAGGACGTTCACCATTAAGCTTTTTCCTCCCCAACTGAATTGCTCCTTGCCTGCCCCTTTCATTTTTTGGGGATTTCTGTTCTTTGAAACATGGGGGCTCAGCATCACATGTGAGCATTACAAAGGGCGGTCTGCAGGCAAATGCAGTCTGCCTAGAACACTGATACCTTCAGACTGACAGTCATCCATTAAGCCATTTTGATATTGCATACCACCTCTGAAGGGCCAGCCCATAGCATGCATCACAACTGGGGGCTCTTGAGAGACAAGATATTGTGATGTTTTCAGAAAGCTGTGAACAGCAGCCTGCTGGCCTCTGCCAGCCATGATCTGCCTTCATCACACAGAAAAGAACAGAAACCTAGTATTAACCAATTTCCGACCAGCCGTTGCATATAAACGGCCGGACGGTGGCACTGCAGGGTCGGGTGGCCGTTTATAAACCGCCTCCCCGCACCCTGCTTGTGCGCGCTCCCTGGGAGCGCGCAGTACCGCGATCTGGTGCCTGCTGTGTCCTCCGGACACAGTGAAACACCGATCGTCGGACAGGACCTCTGTACGAGGTCCCGATCATGTGATCACTGATTGGCCAATCAGGGATCACATGCAAAGTAGTAAGCAAGATGTCACTTGTGACATCATTGCTTACTACGTGTGAAATCTGTGAATGATCACAGAGGTCACATGGTACATGGCTATTCACAACAGCCTTGTACCATGTGACAAGCTGTGACCAATCACAGCTCACTGAGTACTTCTCAATGAGTGCAAGAATGCAGACAGAGAGAAAGAGAAATTATTGCTTTTATATCCTATATGGGTGTACAAGCAATCAGTGTAAAAAAAAAAAAAAAAAAAAAAAAAATCTTTATCACCCCCCACAAGTAGTACAGTATCACTATTGTGACACTGTACTGCTAGGGTGACAGCAAAAAATCAGTGTAAAAAAAAAAAAAAATGTAAAAAAAAATGTTTAAGAATTATAATTTTTGGTTATAAACTAATTTGGATTTTTTTTTTTTACTAAAAAGATAAACAGAATAAATTTTGGCCAAGATTTATGATGAAATATTATTTATTTGCAAAATTTTATAAAAAAACACTTTTTTTCAAACTTTTTGGACATTTCATTTACATAGCAAAAAAAAAAAAATCCCAGCGGTGAATAAATGCCACCAAAATAAAGCTTTATCTGTCTCAAAAAAATGGTAAAAAATTCATATGGGTAAAGTTGCATGACCGCGCAGTAGTCATTCAAAGCGCTGAAAGCTGAAAATTGGCCTGGTCAGGAAGGGGGTAAAAGTGTTCGGTGTGGAAGTGGTTAACATAACGGGGCCTCAAATAAGGTATACAATGAAAACATGAAATTAGAGGTATTATTTAACATTTCATCAGTGTATCTTGTTTCTGAAAATATTTTCGTCATAATTTCTGTTTCCAGTGATGAAAACTAAAAAGAAAATTACTCTGAATGTTCGGCAATTGGCAAAAACTATGCCAAAAATCAATTTCAATTTTCGGCACCGAACAAAAACGGAACGAAAATGTGAGGGAGGGATGTTTTACTCATAAAGATGTTATATAAGGGCTAAATCTGTGTCTGTGTAGTTTGTTCAAACCTTAATACCATAAATAACATGTTTTTAGAATTTGTCTTTACTCCAGGGGTATATAATGAGTTTGGAAATTCTAGAGAAATGCTTAAATAATGCAATACAACTTGACTAAACCCTATAGATTTTAGTTGACTAAATTGTACTGGAAATTTTAGTTGACTAGAATATGACGAAAAATAAAACAATTCAGATTACTAAAATTCACCTAAAGCTAAAATGGCATTTTTTTAGTCAAAAGACTGTGACTAAAACTAAACTGATTTTTTTATGTCAAAATGAACACTATATTTCATCAGCATGTTTATGGGGGAAAGGAGGAACTATAGAAGGTACATATAAGCAGATTAAACTTTATCTTGAAGATTCTGCCTCCACTCTATCCATGCTGCCATGGCTATATGCATGATCATACAGCTGATAAAGATCTAGGTGTGCTGATCATCTGATGTGTAATGTTAATCATTCTCCTCCCCAACCTCAAATCTTTACATGTCTGAAGTCCCATGAGATTTCACAGGCAGTAGGAGGAAGATGAAGCCAAGAAGTATACTGTGCCAAGGCAAGCTGAATGCATCATTTTTGGTAGTTCCACGACAAAAGTCACACGATTAATGCAGACCAGACATTGGCACCAGCATCTTGGGTATGTAATCATATTAAAGTGACATGGAAAGTTGTTTACAATAATGTTCTTCTTCAATGATTATAATAGAAGGCCTTTCGGGGGATATTCTATAGCACACTATACTATGGCAAGCACACTATACAACCTAAAATGTATCTAAACCTAACCACTACTTTCAAAAGCGGATTTCAATCTTATTAAATCTGCAGCTTTCATTAGAATACTTCCAGATGCTCCTGCCATGACAGTACTAATTCAAGCACTTCTTGTTGTACAATGACAACTCTTCAATTGTGCTCCAGTGCTGTCAACCTCTTGCACAACCACCTGATGGGAGTCTACAAGTGGTCATGCTAATACCCTTTGCACAAGCATGGTCCACCATTGTACCTGACCAATCGTTCCTGAGCAATGATGTGCAGCTGATGCAGGAGTGAGTGCATGTAGACAGCAAGTTCCTACAAGAGGCTGCAGGAGATCAGCAGTGCAGAGAGATGAAAAAAAAAAAATGTAAAACAGTGTGTTGTGGGGAAAAAAAAAAGTCTAAACGGCGCTGGTTATTAACCACTTCCCGACCGCCCTACAGCAGAAGTACTGCAACAGGGCGGCAGGGATGCACAAAATCACTCACTGATCGTCGGGCGAGCTGACAGGGGAGAGGTCTGTATGTACACAATACAGATCTCTCCCTGTCAGCAGGAACAGGCTGCTTTGTATTGCTCCGCTCTAGTAAACACACACAGCACACTTAGTAAAACACACAGAGAACACAGTTAACCCTTGGATCGCCCCAGATGTTAACCCCTTCCTGCCCAGTGTCATTAGTACGGTGTCAGTGCTTTTTATTAGCACTGATCACTGTATTAGTGTCACTGGGGATGTCAGTGGCAGTTAGTCAGTCCCCCCCCCCCCCCCCCCCCCCCCCCCATCAGATTATTCACTGCAGTCCTGCAATAAGTCGCTGATTTCTGCCATTACTAGTAATAAATAAATAAATATTCCAGTATATATATACCGTCATTTGCAGACGCTATAACTTTCACGTAAACCAATTATTTACACGTACTAGGATTTTTTTTTTTTTTAAGCAAAGACACGTAGTAGAATACATTTTGGCCTTAATTTATGACATTTGATTTTTTAAAATTTTTGTATTGGACGTTTAATAGCAAAAAGTCAAATATATATATTTTTTCCAAAATTGTTGGTCTTTTTTTGTTTATAGCGCAAAAAAAAAAAAAATGCACAGGTGACCCAATACCACTGAAAGAAGCTCTATTTGTGGGAAAAAAAGACATAAATTTAATGTACAATGTTGCATGACTGCGCAATTGTCAGTTAAAGTAACACAGCGCCGTATTGCAAAAAATGGCCTGGTCAGGAAGGGGGGTAAATCCTCTGGAAGGCAATTGGTTAAGCATTATTAACTACTTGCCAACCGCAGATAGCCGAATGACATCATATGATGTCCTCCCAGAATGCGCTCTCCTGCACGACCCTTGGGGTGTGCACCCGGCGATCTCCGTGATCGCTGTCTCCTACGGACACAGCTGATCACGTGATGTGGTAAAAGGTCAATTGCAGTGGCCTTTTACCACGTGATCAGCCGTGTCCAATGACATGCTGATCACCGGGAAATGCAATTGCTGGTTCTCGGGTGAACTTTCCTCATGCTGTCAGAGCGTGAGGAAAGTACTGCCGAGAACCGGCAGTTGTCAGAGCAGGGATCGGCACCGATCATCAGGGCACGGATGATCGATGCCTAGCAGTGCCACCCACAAGTTCCGCCCACCTGTGCCCAGCAGTGTGCACCTACTAACTCCGCCCACCTGTGCCCAGCAGTGCGCCCACTAACTCCGCCCACCTGTGCCCAGCAGTGCATCCACCTGTGCCCAGCAGTGCACCCACCTGTGCCACCCAGCAGTGTCACACAAGTGTGCCCAGAAGTGCCACCCACCTGTGCCCACCAGTGCCACCCACCTGTGCCCACCAGTGCCACCCACCTGTGCCCACCAGTGCAGCCCAGCAGTGCTGCCAGTCAGTGCCGCCAGTCAGTGCCCAGCGGTTGTGCCAGTCAGTTCCCAGCAGTGCCGCCAGTCAGTTCCCAGCAGTGATGCCAGTCAGTGCTACCTATCAAAGCTGTCTATCAGTACCCATCATCAGAGTCGCCTATCAGTGTCGCCTATCCGTGACACCTCATTAGTGCCACCTATCAATGCCGCCTATCCGTGCCACCTCATTAGTGCTGCCTATCAGTGCCCATCAGTGCTGCCTATCAGTGCCCATCAGTGCTGCCTATCAGTGCCCATCAGTGCCGCCTATCAGTTCCGCCCACCTGTGCCCAGCGGTGCCACCCACCAGTTCCGCCCACCTGTGCCCAGCAGTGCCCCCACCTGTGCCCAGCAGTGCCCCCACCTGTGCCACCCACCTGTGTCCACCAGTGCCACCCACCTGTGCCCACCAGTGCCTCCCACCAGTGCTGCCAGTCAGTGCCCAGCAGTTGTGCCAGTCAATGCCCAGCAGTTGTGCCAGTCAATGCCTAGCAGTGCGCCAGTCAGTTCCACCTATCAGTGTTGCCTATCCGTGCCTATCCGTGCCACCTCATTAATGCTGCCTATCAGTGCCGCCTATTAGTGCCCATCAGTGCTGCCTCATCAACGCACATTTTTTTTGTTTATAGCGCAAAAAGTAAAGTGACCAGCGGCGATTAAATACCACCAAAAGAAAGCTCTATTTGTGAGAAAAAAATGATAACAATTTCATATGGGTACAATCTTGCATGACCGCGCAAACGTCTATCAAAGTGCGACAGCGCTGAAAGCTGAAAATTGTCCTGGTAAAGAAGGGGGTATACATGCCCGGCAGGCAAGTGGTTAACAACCAGTAAAAACACAGTGGGGCACTAATTCCCCATCATATCAACTTTCCCCTTTTGGCAGCAGGCAGTGGGTGCAGTCTAAAGCCAATAGCAGGCTGTCTATTAGTTAAGAATCCATCCACTGCCTTCTGTCAATCACAGAGAGTGGACCTGATGGGGAACAAGCATCTGGGTTTGTCTGTGTGCACCTGATTGATGTACCTGTGTACAGGTACATGAATTTGTCCCCATGAGGACAACTGTTGTGTGGATGCATATTGGAATTCTTAGACACTCTTTATTAATTCCCTGGATGGTGTTTTAGCAAACTGACTCTCTACTGATTGGGGGTTACATTTACTTTAATGTAAGATTTGAGGCACAGATTCTCTCGCAGTCTAGGAAATATGTGGAAGAATACCTGATTAAACATGAATAGGACTCGTGTGACGTCATTAGCGTACTGGCATTTAGAATAGTCCTCCTCTGCCCAGGAGCCCCCTCGGTCACATCGTCGCCAGGCTCTTATCTCATCTTGTTGGGTGCCAGGATAGATTCCACCTCCAGCTGAATAGCGGGTGCACAGTAGATATGCAGTAATTCCTGCCAATGTTCTTGGCCACCTAGTGGACAATATATTTATATCTCAGTTTCAGAATTCTGTACAATATCATCTGGTCAAGGACTTTAAGGGCTCATTAACACTTGCGGGCAGGAGGCAGTAAAAATAGGCAGTTGAGCCATGGTTTTATTGCCCCCACTAAGCTGCAAATGCAGCCAGATAGGGTTGTACACAGTAGATATTATACCCTCTGTCAGATTTGGCCAAACAACTCATTCAAGTGAAAAGAATTGAGCTGCAACCCTGAGCAATGAACACATTTGTGGCACAGTGGTGCAGGCTTTACAGATGGCAATGAAGTGACATAACTCCTGTCAAAACGCTTCAGAAATATGACCCAATGTGGATTGCTTTTCAGAGGGGTGCCAAAGTCTGCCACAAGTGAAAACTAGCCTGAGAGTTTGCAAAAACAGATGGCTTTATATCTGCAGTATATTTTTGTATGTGTATAGTCAAGCTAAGCTAAAAGTACTGGTTTATAAGTCCTCATGCACATTGGACATTTTGATAACACTGGTAACGTTAGCTGTGTAAAGTCACGTTAAAAATGTGAGTTTTTCAGCTTTTTTAAGTGTTTTTGCATTAGCATTTAGCTGTGTCTTCCCGCGTTTTTACGCGTTTGTATTTTTTTTTACCAAAAAAAAATATGGGGGGGGGGGGGTAAAAAAATCCCAAAACACCGCTTTGCTGCGTTTTACCACGTTTTGCCACGTTTTTCAGCGTTAGAGCTTTTTTCCAGCCAAAAAAACGTTGATTACAGTCTATGTGTGCATGGACACATAGGATAACATGCTGGGGGGTTTACTAGCTGTAGAAAAAAAGGTCAAAAGCCAAAAACAGCAGCTAGATGATGCAAAATCTGGTGCAGCTCTGCAATGAAACCAATCAGCTTCCAGTTATTTTGTCAAGGCTTAATTGAACAAGCTGAAGTTAGAATTTGATTGGCTACCATGCACAGCTGCACCAGATTCTGAGTGCTTCAATTTTAGTAAATCTCCCCCATTGTATCCAGCAGAGCCTCCAGGCTCATCCAGGCATGGCTGGGTATAAATTAGTAGATTTTTTTTTTTTTAAGGAAAATTCGTATGAACATCCATACAAAAATATCAGTACATTTGATGCCTTAACAAGTGTCATTTGAAAGTACTTCAAAATTTCATTTGCTTTTAACATTCGATCTCGGAGTGAATTGCCACATGAAAACCACATTCACGGTTAGAAATTCATTCATTTGCGAAAATTTTTCCATTCTGCTGCTTTGAATTATCTCATCACTGCAGTCAGAAATGAACTTTGATGTTACCCCACTAGCAATTAGAAAACTGAACAAATGTTCTAAGAACAAAATTTTTCATTCCAATATCTACTAGCATGTACCCAGCTTAAGACTCACGGAGGATTATTTTATGTGCTTAAAAAAACATCTTACATAATTCTAAAGCTATGCTGGCACTGGCAGTTCTTACAAAATAAACATCCGTGGGAATTAACACGACAGGTCCTGTTCAATTAGACTGTGAAAGTATGTCTTGGCAACTCTTCCCCATTAGGAATATTAATCCTCATCTTGTCTGATCCTTTAATATACATGTATAGACATCTTAGAAGCTTTGATTTGTATAAAATTAATTGAGCGAATGACCAGAAAAGTAAGACATGTTAAAGGAATGATTGCCTTTTTTTAAAAAACCTTTATCATCTGTAAAATATACTACTGTTTAAATATAATTAAAATTTCCACCCACACAGCCGCATCATTCATTCACAGTTTGCTGTGAATGAACAAACTACAAGTAACATCTGCCATTGCGGCACAAGGCTTCTACTTCTCCATGAACTATGAGAGCACTGGTGAGTGCTCTTGTAGTTCATGGATTCTTCCTGCAGTTCCTGGCATGCTTTACAAGCTGCAGTGTAAAATGAATAAATAAAAATGTTTACTTGTTTAGGGTGTATAATTGAGAAACGAACACAAATAATAATAATAATTGAAAAAAAAAAACAAAAAAACACATTCAGTATATCTCTGCAGCAAATGCACATTTCCCCATGTTTTATCCCTATAAAAACACCGCAAGTATAGAAAATACCCACCAGAAATGCATTCAGCTTCAAACTTTCTGTAGTGAGTTGTCAACACCCAATGAAATCCCTAGCAGTCTTGTGAGCCTTGCCCAGTTCTCTGCTGACTACAGAACACCTCCCCATATGTTATAGAGAGGAGGAGAGGGGTGGGTGTGTTACGCCAATTTTGTACCTTGTTGTTCCCCCAGCCCTTGTGTTCCCAAAAGTCCTATTCACTGGTACTCAATCCAGCAAGATAAATGCAACAGAAGCAATTCTCAAAATCTTATGATCTGTGCTGAAACATGAAGTGTGCACTTTCAATCATTCCTCTGGAGATTTTTGTATTCCACCAGAGCTGGATCAGGAGACAGGTGAGTGTAGGACACTTACTTAAAAAAAAAAAAAATTAAAACAGCATATACATTTTTTCTTTAATAAATGTAGTTGTCAAGATAGTACATCTCCAGAAAAGGGACCTTTTATGCTGTTATTAATGATTACAAGATATGCGGGGACAAAGGGCACAGCAGGGTACAAAATAAGTGTTAGAAATTTAGACACAAAAAGTGTACAAAAAGTTAAATATAGCAAGAGAATAGCTTGATTCTTGTTTTACAGCAGTTAACAAATGCTGAAATATGAAGAGCCTTTCATCTTGCTAATTTCCCCTTTGCTCTTTGTATTCTGCAGACGGAGCTACAGTGCCACGTGTGGTCAGTTACCACTTGAATAGACCCAATTTTCAGACTTAATACAAATCGGAAACATAAATTCTATGGTATTATGGACTTTTCTGGTCCTCCAATTGTAAATGTATTATACTACACAAAAAACATAATTAATCACTCACTTAAAATCCCCTTTGTTATTGATAACTCTCTCCATAGGGCAGTACTGTGCAGAACTCTCCAGCACCACAATATCCACAGTCCTTGTGTTATTGCCACGCCGACTCTGAACACGGCAGCCCCAGTTCCCCGTGGATCCAGCTTGAATATTGGAAATGGTCAGAGCGCTAAAGAAGAGAGACCAACAATGATTAACAACAACCCTATGACAAGGTGATATGATTTGTTTTGCTGGGCCCCCCTCAAGCTGGAAGGGGCAACAGCACCCATGGGAGATCCAGTTTCGGTGCACAAGCATGACAAGTACAGCCACATCAGAACAAAGCAGGTGTTTTTATGAGATTTTGAATGATTATGGTGGCCTACAGCCAGCCACCATGAGCCTAAATGGCAAAACTTGTGTATTCAGCTTGTCCATGGCAAGGGGCCCGTCAGTAAAAGGTCTATATGTATGATAAAGACTCCTGGAGGTCGCAAACAAAAGATAGAAAAATGGAGTAAAAATAAAAGTCAAATCAGAGTGCCCTGCAGTTATTATTAGGAGACAGAAAATTTCCACACCCGCAATATTTAGGAGAAAACTAAAAGAAATGAGGGAAAAGGTCTATAGTGAAGGCCAAAAAATGTTTAAAGTCTAAGGCTACTTTCACATGGGCGATCTGATCAGGTCTGCTTGAGCGGATGGTCCAAGTATCCCTATGGACTACCGGTGGGTGTAAACAGACTTGTGCCCATATACACCTGGCTACCTCCAATCCAATTTGCTAAAAAGGGGAAAAAAAAACAGAAGGGGATTTGAGGGAATCTGTCCCCCTCTGTTTGGCAGATGGATCGACAGGCAGTCTGGTGGAAACAGACCACCCTTAGAGCAGAGTGTGCTGTGCCTGTGTCCACTCTGCATTAACTTAGCGAACATGGGCCTGTCATTCACCCGCTCTGCTCAGCAGGGGATCAGAGGAAGGAGAAATTCTGCCCCGTGTGAAAGGGGCCTTACATTTAGTTCCATTTCTAAATTGGCTACAAACTCTGTGAAAAAGCCTGCCTCCTGCCAGAAGCTGCAAAGGAGGACCCATGCTCTCTTTGAGGAAGCAGTGGTCTGTCTGCAGTGGTCCAACATACCTCCTGCTGAGTCAAAATTACAGTCCTCCAATCAGCAGGGAGCATGATCTTTCCTGACTGCAGAATTACAGGTCTAACACGAGCAGAGTTGGACTTTTGTAGAGAGACCACTTTAGAGAAACAATTATCTTAGTTGTGTGTTATTGAAATCTACAATAGAAATAGGGGGATATGTCTTTATTTGTGGCCCATGGAACAATCTACTAACCAAAGTTCTAGGCATTGCTGCCCATGGATCCAATTTATTTAATTATTCAGATTTCACTAGACGTAATTTCCCCACACAAGTGAGAAAGAAAAATATCACACCCACTACAGAACCAAGTATTGTCCATTGCACCACTTGAACTTAAGACAATTAATAAACTGGACAACAAAGCAACAGAAGGAATTATCTTCAGCAGGCACTTAACTATATAAATAATATAAATACCTGGCAATCAACGAGCAGTTGTGGATCATATTCTTCTCCACATAAATCCCCTGTGACTCATCAGTTTCCACAATCTTCCCATCCTGATACCATAAAACCTGCATGTCCTGGTCAACGTAGGAAGCCATGCACTGGAATGGCAGACTGTCCCCTTCAAAGACCACCTGGCGGTGTGATGGCGTCATAAAAAATGATGGAAGCTCAAGAGGTGACTCTGGTAAGGAAAAAAAAAAATCCAATGAAAACCAGATTTAACAACTTTTAGATCAGATATTTAGGTGATGGGGTTACTGGTATGTTAAATCAGATTTAGTTTATGCTTTTCAGAAATCCAGAATTTCATCTGCAGAATTTCCAGTTCTGCCCAAAAACGGCAATCGCAAAAGATGTTATTGGGGTTTTCTGATGAATTCCTATACTGTAGAATGGCAAATAATTGTTGAGCCTAGCTGAGTCAGTTTCATTATTGCCTTGTGGGAGGTGGCACATAAACAGCTGCAAAAAAATCTAGTGCCTGGAGTGTTTTCAGTGATATAGGAAGTCTACAATTGATTCAATCTAACAAACCCAATGCAAACATGCTTTTATAAAAGACCACCAGATTGCTCTTGTAATTGTTCAGTCAATTACAATCACCTAATGTGCATATTTAAAGCATACCTGCTGCTTCTCAATCAGCACAGCTTGGTCACATATTGCAACTACAATAACCACATTACCCTCAGTGGGCACAAATTCAATCCCAGGCTTGTTTACACCTCCAGATAGATTTGGTCATGTCATAGTTACATAGTTAGTCTCGCTGAAAAAGACAAAAGTCCATCCAGTTCAACCATAGAAAAAAAAAAAAAAAAGTTATAATCCTATACCCACAGTAATCCAGAGGAAGGCAAAAAACCCAGCAAAGCATGATCCAATTTGCTCCTGCTGGGAAAAAAATTCCTTCCTGATTCCCGAGAGACAATCGGATATTCACTGGATCAACTTTACCTATAAATGTTAGTATCCAGTTATATTCTGTGTATCTAAGAAACAACCCAGGCCTTTTTTAACGCAATCCACTGACCTGGCCAGAATCAACTCTTGAGGGAGTCTATTCCACATTTTCACAGCTCTCACTGTCAAGAAACCTTTCTGTGTTTGGAGATTACATTACTTTTCCTCCAGACGTAAAGAGTGCCCCCTTGTCCTCTGTGATGACCTCAGGGTGAATAACTCTACACTGAGTTCACTATATGAACCACTGATGTATTTATACATGTTGATCATATCCCCACTTACTCTCCTCTTCTCAAGAGAGAATAGATTCAGTTCCTCTAATCTTTCCTCATAGCTGAGCTCCTCCATGCCTCTTATCAGTTTGGTTGCCCTTCTCTGTACTTTCTCCAGTTCCCCAATGTTCCGTTTGTGAATTGGCGCCCAAAACTGAACTGCATATTCCAGGTGAGGTATTACTAATGATTTGCACAGGGGTAATATGATATCTCTCTCTGGAGTCTATACCTCTTTTAATACAAGAGAGGATTTTGCTCACTTTAGAAACCGCAGCTTAGCATTGCATGCCATTATTAAGCTTGTGATCTACCAGAACCCCCAGATCCTTCTCCACCACTGATTCCCCCAGTTGCCATGTCAAAGAAACCTATTTAGTTACCTGCTGTACTCAACCCCTCTCTATCCCAATCACTTGAATTCAAGTGTAACTAAAAGGCAGTTTTTTGTTGATAGAGCAAGAGAGGTTACCTGCCAGGTTTTTTTTTTTTTTTGCCATTTGTGTCCCATCGGGGAGATTTACCTTCACTTTCTGCCCTAAAGAAGTGAGAGGAAAACCCACCAATGAATCCTAGCGTGACACCAGGGTCACCAGAAATTGAAGAAAAATCTCTAAAACAAAGCCCAAATAGCAGAAAAACAGACAACATTCTACCCAATTCTATCCAACCCCCCCCCCTAAAAAAAAAGAAACCATATCTATAACTGTTATGTTTATGGAGACTGACGTCAATGAACAAGTTTAGTGGTTTGGTTGGGTTCTAGGGTTGAGAAAAGGGTTAAGTAGAACTTTTTTGTTAATTTTGGATAGAGTAGAGGAGCGTTTTTTTAACCCTTGTAAGTTTTTTTTTTTTTTGCCATCTGTGTCCCATTTTGGAGATTTCCCTTCACTTGCTTTCCCATAGCCAAACAGGAAGCGAGAGGAAATCCCTGCAAATTAAGGGAATTTCCTGGGGACCCTCAGGTCACCAAAACTAGTGTCCCCATTGGAAGATTCCACCTTTATTACTTTTCTGGGGACAATCAAAAATGTGGGGTTTTGTTTAATTTTCTCTGATAATGGTATACATGACAAACAGAGCAGGTAAATCTCCCTAATGGGGACACAGACAGCAATCTGATCACCCTCTACTCTATCCAAAGCAAACAAGCTACAGAGAAAAGTTTTGCCTTTAGTTCTACTTTAATGGGATCATCTACATTCTATACACCATCTTCAATCCTCTCACTTCCCATTAACCCCTAAAATTTAAAATCCTAACCAAATTCCTGGACTTTGTCCCACCAGATATGAATAGTGGACAACTACTTTCTTACTGAGAACTTCAGATTTTCACATCTCTCATGGTATACCTTACAAAAGAAGCAGAAATTGCCACAGGAAAAAATCCAACGTTTTAACCAACAGACTATTGTATTCAGCAGCTGCGGCACTCATGGCTACCTGAATTCAACGGCGCTGCCGAACAGTGATGGCATTTGATAAAATGCAGTCATTGTTTGGTCCATAATTTTCCAACTGGTTTAGGTGATTTTTAAATCGACCTTTGTAAAGCCAGATGGTGCTCGCACATAAGTCTCAAATTCTGGCAGATTCAGCAGAAGACGGATAAAAGTAAAGCTCTATATAGCCAGTCTAAACTGGTAAATATCTGAAAATGTAATAAAACTATACTCTGGCTAACAAAGAGGGTAATCAACCAGAGGGATATGTCTTTGAAACCGTGTGTGCGCACAAAACGCATCAGGAAGCTGCCTGCGCATTGACGTCACGCCGCCTGGGCTGCACGAAGGTCCGGTGGCCATCTTAGTGAGTTGTTTATATGGTTTGTTTGTACTCTCCATGTGTTTACTCTGTACCTTTTATAAAGTAATACGCTATTAGCCGATTTGCTCTTTTGTGAGCTAACTCCTCAGGATTTCTCATTGCGGTTTGCATGCTGCTTGGTGTCATCACCCCTATCTGAGATCATCCTGGCCTTCATGGTCCTATGGCTGATGGGTGTGCTGCCTGACTTACCTGGGGAAGAAACCAACTGTTCATGCGCATTTTATATGTGCTTCTGGTAGGTGCATATAAACGAATACTTTTCAGGGATTCACCAGCACTGGATGTCACCTGGTCACGGATTTATTTTCTAGATTTGTTTTATAACTATTGTTTATCGCAATTGTGTCATTTGATATATGTTCATTAACAGTCACTTTTCATTTTATATCCCTCAAAGCTGACCACTCAGTGTCACGGATACCATCACCACACTTATCAGTATATTAATTATTGCTATATTTATAATTCATGAACTCTCGCACTTTAGACTGGTAGCGCTGATCAGAGTGCCTAACTGTGTCGACTTTTTTATATTGCTGCTATTTGTTCTATTGCTGCTTCAATTCAACTTATTATTTATGTATATGCACATGTTTTAGAAGTATTTCATTTGATTCATTCACTACTTTAGCGCTGCACCTTTTATATTTCATTCACTAGTGAGGATACAAAGGGCGGTCCTTTAGTGCCAGCAGCTTATACCTTTCTACACACCCATAGCGCTCACTGACACTACATATACATAAATCAGCTGTGATACACTACATTTAGTAGCTCCTTATTAATAAAAGAAAATTACATCCTAGGTCCAGTGTCAGTATTTGATCTGTAATAATAATTATTCTGCAATGCTGGGGCAGGGGAGAGTGTGCCTTGCCTATGTCTCCAATATTAAGACCTTTTTTCATTATTTGTTCGAGCTAATCGAGCTAAAGGGGCAACATCATCATATGGGTCCTAGGGGTTTTAGAATACTCCAGAAGCTAATTTTTCAAGAAGAACTAAACAAAATTTTCTCAGGGGTGTGGACATTTTTGAAAAAATGACTTGTCCAAGGGACTAAATCGGGGTCCCTCCTGACAATCTACTTGTCCTGATAAAAAAAATAAACAAATGATTTTAACCAAAGCCATATTTAAATCTGAGGCAATTTTAGGAATGTCTGGGGCTTTTAAAAATGGAAGGGGCTGTATGGCGACTTAAATGTTTTTAACATTGCGCTGTTTATTTCCTACTCCTCCCTGCCTGTCTCCAGCACCACACCCAGGGACTAGCAGAGAGAGGAGAGACCTTGCAGTGTAATGAACACCAAATAGGTTCTTCTCAGGAAAGGGGGGGTGTTGGGCTCTTTTAACGCTCAGGAGAAGTACAATTCAATGAGAATAAATAAATAAATAAATAAACATATTCAGGTTACCCTCGCACACAGAAACAGTTTATGTGCTTGGGTGTAACTTTTATTTTTTACAATTAAAATTTTTTTTTCTTACGTGACTTTTTGTTCCCTATGTGATGAAAAAAGTTCAGTATGTGATGATTTTTTTGGTGCAAGGGTCTCTTACTGAGACATCGAGGGTGTCTTTCATGCCTCCCTGCAGGACCCTGCATGTCTACCCTGTGCTCCACTGAATGTAATGTGGGGGGGGGCTGACACTTTAGCAGGGTGTGTGGAAGCCATCGGGCAGCAACGTAGCTGCCAGAATGCTTTCATCTGACAAGTAAGCCCTGCTGCATGCAAGCAAAAATATTTTTTTAAAATCGACCTGCCCGGCACCCGGAACTGCATGTCCTGGAGCATCCGGAAATACAAATTACACATCCCTGTCTCTCCTATAGTTTCTAAAGGCAGAGCTGTTTTTAACATAACTTATGGACATTTTTTGAAGCCAATTACAAGGAAAAGCTGATTTCCTGAACCAAACACCCAGAATAATTTGTGATCTGAGCCCATCTTGCTTAAGGCTTCATGCACACTGGACATTTTTACAGCAGCTCCTAGGAGCGTTTGGCATTTTTTTCTCCTGCCTCTAAACTCTCCTGAATGTTAAGCCTAGTATGCACGCTGAGAATATTGGACGAATGACCGTCCATGTTATTTGCATGCAGGGGCGGACTGACAACTCTTGGGGCCCCCGGGCAATAGGGGATCATGGGGCCCCTGTGTCCTTGCCCAAACTCAAAAAAGTCTATGAAAAAGGTACCAGGGGCATCTCATGGGGCCCCCTACTGGGGAAGGGCCCGAGTTTCCAAATGGTCAGTCCGCCCCTGTTTGCATGCTAGTCTCATATCGAAAATGAAGAGGTTACGAAAGTTACAGAAAATCTCATACGACAGAATACAACTTGGAAAGGGATGTAATGTGTTGCAATGTATTCTTTCGTATCTGATCATGCATGGTCTTGCTCTTCCAATTTTTTCTGGATGAATACTATACTGATTAGATGAAAATTGTACAATATTGTATTACACGGAAAAAAAAAATTGTGTTTGTCCCTTCTAATAATTTCGGACGAAAGCTGTGTATGAACAATCAGATTATTATACGATAGCTTTGAAAGCAATATTTTTGTTCCGATTTTCTGATTGCGTGTACTAGGCTTTAGCCTGTGTCCATGCACACATAGGCCTTTAGTCGCAGGGGCTGTTAAAGGCAGAAAAATAAAAACACTGCCAGTGCGTCCAAGAGCAGCAGAGTTTTGGTAGAAAAAAAGATTGATGCTTCTAAAGGCGTGTTTAGCACTTGAGCGTAAATTAATTTTAATGGTCAGAATAAATTATTATTATTATGGCCATAGATATTAGTTAAAGCCCAAGCACCTGACGACTATAAATGCACATAAACACTTTCAGAGGCATTAGACACTTTTACAAATGTCAGGCATTTTTTCTGCCGAAATTCTGCTGCCAGGCGTAAAGATTCCTAGGAGAGTTTGCAAAACATCCTGTGTGCATGAGGCCTCAAAATTAAATTCCAGGGAAACAGGTGAATACAAACTACTGTATCTGCCAAAAGATTTTTACTTCTAATATGGAGATATATACAGTGCTGCTAGACAGTACATACAGGTTGGTGGACTCACTTTTCTCCAGCGTAATTAACCAACATGGCTTGGTTACCCACTTGCTTCCAGCCTGTGGATGGACAGTAAAGGAGCAGCAACACACCAATGAGGACATCTCTGCTCTCTTCATCTGTTCCTAGTTGGCACATGTGCATGCAGGAGAGCCTGGTTTACACCTAAAAAGTTTGCTTTTGATCCTTTTTTGCAGTGCCTTTTGCGGTGCGTTGTGACGTGTTTTTATGCTTTTTTTTGGCCTATTTGTTGTTGGGAAGAATAAAAATGCAAACCGCATCAAACACGAACTACATGCATTCTCTGCTGTATCTGATTTCTGTGGCTGAAAAAAGCAGAGACGTAAATGTGCCCCGTAGGAAACCATGTTAAATGGACTGTAGTGCGTTTCTGCAAAAAGCACCCAAAAAAACATAGGTGTGAACCAGGCCTAATTGTACTCTACTGCTGCCCCTCCCTCCCCCAGTACTGTTGTATAGATGATTACAAAAAGCTGATACAAAAGTCATATTCTGGTACTTACACTAGATTTAATGGTTTAATTAAAGTGGTTGTAAGCCTCAGACATGAAACATGAATATCTCCATTAAGAACACTGTCATTGCTGTGCCATTTTTGCCTGCTGCTTGGTTCCTCTGCTATCAGCCTGAATCACTTCTGACAAGTTTTCCTGACACCAAGAGGAAACAAAAGTGACAGGGGAGGGACTTCCAGTAGATTTACAGCCTCAACTCTGTTCCTGTGAGCTGTGTGAAGGGGTGTGTGTCTCTCCTGTCCAATCAGCTCTCAGAGCTCTCCCCATTGAGCTTTGCAGAGCGTAATTGCAGCTCTCCGCCCCCTTTTTTCTGAACTCTCAGAAATGGGGGGAAATGTCTGTGCATCTTATGGAGCGAATATGGAGTGGCCTGCCTGGTATTCCCCCTGTTGCTGCCGTGTTAGAATACCGGGCCAGCCGCTAGGCTCTTCTGTGCAGCAGAAACTGCTCCTCGGTCCAGCAGTGTCCTCATCACCTCATCATCTTTAGTGTGGGCACCCAGCAGTGACAGCTTGCGGCTTCACAGCCGGGTGCCCACTGCACATGCGCGAGAAGTGCTGAGCTTTGTGAATGGCCCCGCAGTCTTCTGGGACCTGTCGAGTGTCCCAGAAAACTACAGGGAGAAAGGCGAACGCAGCCGAAGTGGGAGCGGGTACCTGTCAAATTCGGGTACCCACTCACCCCCGCTCCCCAAAGGTCTGTCCGCAGGCTCTGGTCATCTCCCGTACTATGTCCGCAGTCTCTGGTCATCTCCTGTACTGTGTCTGCAGGCTCTGATCATCTCTTGCACTATGTCCGCAGTCTCTGGTCGTCTCTTGCACTATGTCCGCAGTCTGGTCGTCTCCTGCAGTACGTCCGCAGTCTCTGGTCGTCTCCTGTAGTACGTCCGCAGTCTCTGGTCGTCTCCTGTAGTACGTCCGCAGTCTCTGGTCGTCTCCTGTAGTACGTCCGCAGTCTCTGGTCGTCTCCTGTAGTACGTCCGCAGTCTCTGGTCGTCTCCTGTAGTACGTCCGCAGTCTCTGGTCGTCTCCTGTAGTACGTCCGCAGTCTCTGGTCGTCTCCTGTAGTACGTCCGCAGTCTCTGGTCGTCTCCTGTAGTACGTCCGCAGTCTCTGGTCGTCTCCTGTAGTACGTCCGCAGTCTCTGGTCGTCTCCTGTAGTACGTCCGCAGTCTCTGGTCGTCTCCTGTAGTACGTCCGCAGTCTCTGGTCGTCTCCTGTAGTACGTCCGCAGTCTCCTGTAGTACGTCCGCAGTCTCTGGTCCTGTAGTACGTCCGCAGTCTCTGGTCGTCTCCTGTAGTACGTCCGCAGTCTCTGGTCGTCTCCTGTAGTACGTCCGCAGTCTCTGGTCGTCTCCTGTAGTACGTCCGCAGTCTCTGGTCGTCTCCTGTAGTACGTCCGCAGTCTCTGGTCGTCTCCTGTAGTACGTCCGCAGTCTCTGGTCGTCTCCTGTAGTACGTCCGCAGTCTCTGGTCGTCTCCTGTGTATCCGCAGTCTCTGGTCGTCTCCTGTAGTACGTCCGCAGTCTCTGGTCGTCTCTGGTCTCCTGTAGTACGTCCGCAGTCTCTGGTCGTCTCCTGTAGTACGTCCGCAGTCTCTGGTCGTCTCCTGTAGTACGTCCGCAGTCTCTGGTCGTCTCCTGTAGTACGTCCGCAGTCTCTGGTCGTCTCCTGTAGTACGTCCGCAGTCTCTGGTCGTCTCCTGTAGTACGTCCGCAGTCTCTGGTCGTCTCCTGTAGTACGTCCGCAGTCTCTGGTCGTCTCCTGTAGTACGTCCACAGTCTCTGGTCGTCTCCTGTAGTACGTCCGCAGTCTCTGGTCGTCTCCTGTAGTACGTCCGCAGTCTCTGGTCGTCTCCTGTACTGTGTCCGCAGTCTCTGGTCATCTCCTGTACTGTGTCCGCAGTCTCTGGTCATCTTCTGTACTGTGTCCGCAGTCTCTGGTCATCTCCTGTACTGTGTCTGCAGTCTCTGGTCATCTCTTGTACTATGTCCGCAGTCTCTGGTCATCTCCTATACTGTGTCCGCAGTCTCTGGTCATCTCCTATAGTACATCTGCAGTCTCTGGTCATTTCCTGTACTATGTGTGCAGTCCATTGGTTCAGAATATTTCTTTTCTTGTTTTCCTCCTCTAAAACCTAGGTATCTTACGGTCAGGTGCGTCTTATGCAGCAAAAAATACGGTAATTGCCTGGAGTATAAATCGTTCAAATGATTATAAGGTAATGTCTGTTAATGTCAGTGGGAGTCGTGTTGTCCTGATCCTTCAAAATTCTTGTACATGTGTTGGACTTAAAAGTTAGCACTTCTGTTTTGTAGCCATCAGAACTCTATCTGCACAAAGTTTGCATGTTCTCCCTGTGCTTGCATCGGGTTCTTACAAAATCCAAAGGCATGCTGGTAGGTTATGTGCGCCTGTCTAAATTGACCCTAGTATACATGAATGAATACATGTGAGATAAGGACCTTAGATGGTAAGCTCTTAGTGCACACGGACTAATGTGAATGTACAGTATGTGAAATACCATGTACATTGTTGGTGCTATATACAATAAATACTTGTAATAAATAAAATGCATATAACTGCTTCAGATAAAGGGATCTTAAGTTCATGATATCATATGTAAATCATTCTTAGTCCTTGTTTAACCCCAAAGCAATATTCTATTTCAGTCAGGGTTGCCCTGCATTGTCATAGGACAAAACACCATCATGCAAATAAAGTTTCTGGTTGTATTGTGGAGTTTGTAGGTCATTAGAATGACCCAAGAATGACAGTTGAGGATGAAAAGTAAAATGTACATCAGAAAACAATACGTTACCGCATGTCAGCTGTTCTGGTTTCAATGCTGCTATCGGCTGTCCTTGAAGAGCTTTGGGGTAGGAACACTTGGTCTCACGCACTGTAATATTTTTGGCTTTCATCCATCGAACCATCCACAGAAGATTACAGTCACAAAGTAGATAATCCGTCTGAAACTCTCTGAAAATGGACATGAAAGAGGTGGCGAAATCCCCACACATTACTATTCGGTCTAGAGAAATTGTTTCCTTAGAATTCAGCTAACAAAAAAAGATACATGCAAATAGGAAAATAAAAACGCCATACTTCTATGTCTAGATTGATTTTGAAAACTCAACCCTAAAACGTCTGAAGCTTAACCTTAAACTAATGCAACATTGAGGCCTCGTTCACACCATAGATGCAGAAAAACTGATGGAAACTGACACACAGATTTCACTTGCAGACACATCAGTTTACATCAGTTTTCATGCAGGCATAAATGAGTTTTATACACAATGCAGATTCCTGCGCCTGTAAAAAATCCACACGTAGTACTATGTAGTGGTGTGAACAGGGCACAAAGAGAACAATTGATTTTGTTGTGCCCTTGCAGAACGCGTGCAGAAAACCTGATGTCTCTGCACCATGGTGTGAACAAAACTGATGTTTCTGCAAGTGAAATCTGTGCATCTGTTTCCATCAGTTTTTCTGCATGTATGGTGTGAACGAGGCCTAAAGTCCTGCCTTAAAGTATAACTAAAGGAAAAACTATTATTTTAGCTTTGGACAGAGTGCAGCAGGATTAGAATATATGTCAGTTTTTATTGCAGTATGTGCCCGTGTTAAGAAGATTCACCCTCCAGATTTGTTCTGTTTACCATTATCACTGAAAGTAAAAGAAAATCCAAAACTTTGGTATGTCCCCAGAAAAGTAAGAGGGAAATCTTTGAAAGGGGACACTGTTTCTGGTGACCTGGAGGTCCCCAAGGAATTCCCTTAATTTGTAGGGATTTCCTCTCACTTCCTGTTTGGCTATGGGACAGGAAGTGAAGGTAAATCTCAGCAGATGGCAAAAAAAAAAAAAAAAAAAAAACACTCTTGCTCTTTCCAAAATGAAAAAAAAAATTGCACGTAGTTCTATTTTATCATATATTAAAAACATTTTTTTTCAATCCGATTCTTTAATATTGGGTGAAATTGGGTGATGTTTGATCCCCACAAGATACATACCTCTAGGGGACTCCCCCCTAGATCTCCCCTTATTCTGGTCACATATATCTTGGTCTAGGTATTGCTATTCTTGCTGCAGTGATCCAATCATATATACCTAGAGGGAATTTACTAGAAAAAATTATTTAATTTGGCCTCCTGGATAGGGCTCAGTGCAACAGGGGACACCAGAACTTTGCTAAAAACCTGAGGTAAGCCTGTGACAGCCATATGGGTTTGTCAGGAGGGATTGCCCAATCATGTTCCCAGGAACGTAAGCAAACTCAGCAGGTATCAAATCTTCTTCATCTCCAATGAAAACCACACCCTGGTTTGGGTGAACTGATAAGATTAGGTAGATGTACCACAGCCTATTAAAGAGCTATCAGCAAGGAGACCACATATATATGTTGATAAGAATAACCAGTTCCAAATTGTGATGGACAAGCATGAAGACAACATACTTTAAATCAACCTTTCCTCAACTTTTTATCCTGCAGGAACCCCTAAAATAATTTTCAGATTTCGGGTACTCTTTAACTAAAACCAAATCATCAGGGATCTTTGAGGAAAATGCCCCTCACATTGGTGGTCAGTAGGAGAAATGCAACCATTATGGTGGGGATCAGGCTGCCAACCTTCCACACAGATAAAAAGACCACTGGTGACATGCTGCTGGCTTTGCCAAGTAGGGTTTACTCTGGAACTATGCACATTTCGAGAAACCCTATTGTTCCGCTGAACCTTGGTTTAGAATGGCTGCTTAATACAATCACTATTTTGGGATTGATTTTTGTTCCATCACTGGGAACAACTATTCAGTCAATGAAGACTTGAGCTTGCTATACACAGATCAAAAATCATCTGATTCAGTAGGGGCTGGATGAATTTCAATCAGTATGTTGCCTGCTTCTGCAGAACAGAAGCCAATTGTTTGATTGATTTCTGTCGAAGGGACATGCGGTAAAACATTTCTTGTTCAGTGGCTGTAGCACTGATCACTGTATTCTAACAACAGCGGGTCCCACTGTCAAAATACAATGTCCCTGCAGGGAGAAGGGAGGGGTCCCTCCATACAGCTTGCTTGCATGAAAAAAGGAATCTATGAATGGAGAAAAAATTAACCATTTCTGGCAAGTTTTAGGCTATTGTAGGAGTGCTTTAATGCCATTCCTACTTACCTACAAGACTACACAGAACATTGTGATCATACAGTTCCTTTGCAGACTGCAGCACAGAATTAAATATTACTAGAAGTTCTAAAAAGGCACACATTTGGGACTGTTAACCCCTTGAAGTGGCTGATACTTTACTGGTCACATTCCAGTGAATATCCACTAAATGTAACTCAGTATAGCATAAACCAGTGTTTCAGGTATGTGTTTGGCTCTTGCATACATTCACAATGCTGGCAGGGAAGTAGGTCAGAGAGAAGCCACTGCACACAAGCCCCAGGGTCACAGTGCTTGCTTCTTCACGCTAAATTGATTTTAAAATGTGTAACAGCTGGCTGCAATGGATATTTCCTCTGTGATCCTCTCTGGGCTTGAATAGAGCAGAAAGAATGCCATGGGTACTGCACACTGAAAATATAATGTACAGAGCCAAAACGTCATCTGTAAACCCAACCTAACAGAGCAAACAAGGCTTTCTAACTGTGTATCTCCCTCCGTGTCATCATAAAGAATGTACTGGCCCCCAACTACCCTCATCCATTACTATATTCACTGGCACTGAAGAAACAGGTGTTGTCCATGGAACACGCTATTGCTTTTTTTTCCCCCATATATGAAAAATGAATGGAAAGTGACTAATCACATTGGTTAAAAAGTGTTCTTCGATGGATAGATAGATAGATAGATAGATAGATATAGATAGATAGATAGATGCAAAGAGGTGTAGTGTTTAGATAAAATGTTGCACAGGATAGTACTTACAATGACTTTAAGGCAATCAGGTTAGCAAATGTTCCTTGTGCCAAAGAGGAAAATAAATTCCCAGAAAGATTACTGGAAGAAAATATAACACAATGTTAGGAATAGGTTATATTCAGACTACATTTAAAGCTGAACTTTACACATATATACACAACACACTAATCAATGCAGATCTGTAATCCTAAATACACTATTAAGCGCATTTTGTTCAAATTCAAGCAGTGTAAGTATCTAAATTTGTTACTAAACTCATGACCCTTAGATTGTATGCCCCTTGAGGGTTACGGACTGATGTGAATGTACAATATATATGTACAGTGCTGCATAAATTGACGACGCTGTACAAGTACCTGAAATAAATAACGACCCTGCATTCACTATATCTGGTCTCCCACAGTACACAGAACATGGAAAAGCAATTATTTTACTAAACATTAACTGCTAAATAACTTTTCTCATCAGCAGTTAGAGCAGTCTTGTGACTTTTATCAGTGTCCAGCAGAGCACTAGTTAAAGCTTGTAGGAGGAATTTTCATTCTCCCCTGATTGTCCTATGAGGCTGCATACCCCTGATACTCTGTCTGGACAGCGCTGATTGGCCCCATGCTGATCACATGTACTCTCCCAAGAAAAAAAAAAAAACAAAACACTCTTTAGCAATACACATCAAACTGAGCATATGCAGCTTGCCCCAAGGCTCTGTTCTATCGGCAGATGGATTGGGGACAGTAGAAGAAGGGGGAGGATCAGAGAGGAAAGGATCAAAGGGCCTTTTTAGACAATGCAGAGTAATAGCCCCTTAGGTTCCACAGTGAGTATAACAAGCATACTTTACTGCATATACAGACTGATTTTACTGTTATGGGTTTAGTAACTATTTAACACCAGCCTCGTGTGGTCAACAGTACAGTCTGTATACGGAGCTCAAAGAGGGAGAGGAAAACTGAGAATAGTGTTTGTTAAATGCTGGCGAGTTAAACCACTTATTAGTTTTTTATATCTCTCCAGGACTGAGAAGGTGAGATCAATGCACTGGGGTTCACAGGTGGGAACAGTTGGGGCACTTAGCAAGGAGTCCCACACTTCGCTCAGTGTATTTTATGCGAAGGGGAACACAACAGGAGAAACAAGAATAACCCAGGCTGCACACGAATACCCAACTGCTCCAAGGGTTGTGGGAAGAGAGCTAGGATTTACTGCAGATCTCACTGACGGAATCTCCGAGAGACATAAGATTCCAGATTGTTACTCATCCCATTGGTGTGTACCTATTGTATATCTCAACTCTGAGTAATGGCTGGACAGGCCTTTTTTTAAACTCTTACAGCTTGGCATTTAGCTTCAATATCAGTAATGTCTGCCTAAAGTTGGCCATAGATGATCTGATTTTTGTTGGCTAAACAGAAAAAAAAAAGAAAAAAAAGAAAAAAGGCATAGATGCCTCCATTCACACAAGCAAGGTGGGTGGAGGAATTCAGCCCCATGGAACTCAGTGCAGTGCTGTCAGAATCCAATGATTGGCTAATTGACTGCTGCTGATAATCTACAAAAGTCTTCTAACTCATCCAGAAGTTGAAAAAGGATGGCCACACACTGATCAAAATTCGCTCTGTCTATGGCCAGCTTTAGCTTCTCAGACACCAATGAGAATTTTACTGACACAAATACCAGCAACAGCGGAGGGATCTTAGGAGGAAGGTTGCAAAATCATTCCTGCTGTGTTCCTGCTGGGTTACGTTCCTCACACATCTTGTACCAGTGACAGAAAAAGAAATTCCCCCAATAGGAACACTGGTGGCAATAAAAACCCCTCAGAGGTTCTAATCCTTTCACATGCTATGGAAACCTATCACAGATCTGGGCAATTCAAACTGATCACTTGTTGTCCATTCGAAGCAGTTGTGGATTTATGCAAATCTCCAAATTGTCTGTAAGGGTCAAATTTGGTCCTGCAAGCTAAACAAAACCCACAACCTCTCCAATTTACAATTCGCTTTTAGAGTAACTTGCATATGGAAGGGCTTTGCATAGAACAAACAAAACAAGATTTATCCTAATACATTTACCAGCTAGCCCACAAAAAAAAGAGAAAAAAAAGAAAACAAATTACACAGTCTAACAACTTTTGTTAAAAACAAAAAAGGTTTTAGTTGCACATTTGCAAATATACAGTGGAGTTTATTTACTAAAGCTGGAGAGTGCAAAATCAGGCTTACTTCTGCATATAGACCAAACAGCTTCCAGGTTTTATTGCCAAAGCTTAATTGAACAAGCTGAGGTTAGAAGACGATTGGTTTGCTATGCAAAAGTGAGCCTGATTTTGCACTCTCCAGCTTTAGTAAATAAGCCCCAGTATGTGGAAGCTGCACTGTCTTGTCAAGGTCCCTCTGTATAGTGCAGTGCTAAGGCTGAGTTCATACTGGCATTGAAAGCAGGCACTTGAGGGGCATTTTTAAATGCAAAATTATACTATGGGCAGCACACAGTGTGTACACATTATCAAAACATGAAGTGTTAGCGTTGCGTTGCTTCAAAACTGAAGCCTAATGTCGAGTCAGGAGGAGTTTGAATCCTTTCAACGCCTTGCATTCAAATCTATGGGGACGTTCCCCAAAGGCACTGGCAGGAGTCTGAGGGGCATTTGAAACACGTGAATAACATTGCAGTTTATTTAGTTTGTGGTGTGGTTTTAACACTTATAAAATGCTTCAAAACTGCACATAGGGCATTTGGGAAGCATTTTTAACGCTTGTAAAAAGCCAGTCAAATGCCCATATTAAAGCTCATTAATGCCTGTCCAACGCCCATATTAAAGCTCATTAATGCCTGTAAAGCCAACGCCCATATTAAAACTCATTAATGCCTGCCTGTCCAATGCCCATATTAAAGCTCATTAATGCCTGTCCAATGCCCATATTAAAGCTCATTAACCCGTCTAATGCGTCTACTAAAGCTATGGGAGCATTTGGTTAGAGAAAGTCAAGTGTGAACAAGCCCTAACTCTAGCCTAGGGCAAGTATGCCATTTGTTGTCTAGCATGCTGTAAGTGACATTGGGACACACAGGACACGCCTTTAAGGAGTAATGGGCTGCCTCTAGGCATACCTGTCCTTAATTTATCCATTGCTAGATTTGTTCCAATATAGAGGCTCATAGACTAGAGCAGCCGTTCTCAACCAGGGTGCCCAGGCACCCAGGGGTGCCTTGGGGTTTCTTCAGGAGTGCCTTGGCAAAATGTCTACAAATTGGCCAAAAGTTGTATACAAGCCAGCAGGTGGAACAAGCCTGACTTTTAGTTACACAAAGCCACAGGTTTTCATTGTGCACCATTTTGACCTTCTAGCCCAGCAATGGGCAAACTACGGCCCGGCGGACCTTTTAATCCGGCCCGGGGGACCTTTTAATCCGGCCCGCGGAGCGTGATAAAAAAAAAAACAGCCACGGCAGGCAAACATTAGCTGTCAGGATGTGTGTAGGCGGGGCAGCGTGACGAACGTGAGGGGAGCTAGGCTCCTCTCACAGTCCGCCCTGAAGACCGGAACGGCGCGGGAACACGGCGAGAGGAACGCGCGGAGCAAAGGTAAGTAAATTGACACAGGGGGGACTTGGCTTACTACTTGGGGGGGAATAGTACTATGGGGGATGAAATACTATACGAGGGATGAAATAATATGGGGGATGAATTAATATGGGGAATGAATTACTATAGGGGGGATGAATTACTATAGGGGGGGATGAATTACTATGGGGGATGAATTACTATATGGGGGATGAATTACTATGGGGGATGAATTACTATGGGGCATGAATTATATTAATTCACACATACACATCATTCATCTACTCTTGGTCCGGCCCCCGGGTCCAATATATGAACCCATTGCGGCCCTCAAGTCAAAAAGTTTGCCCACCCCTGTTCTAGCCGCTAGCGTCCTGACATCCAATGATATCATCAGTTGATAAGGAGGATGTCGGCTGCTTGCACAGCATCCTAGTATGGCCCCTCTCCATCAGTGCTGGGGTCACATTAGCTCAGTGATGGAAAAAAAACTGAGAGAGAAGAGAAACAATGGAATACTAGTCAGTACCAGTGTGCAAAAGTGTATTTGCTTTGAAAGAATAAATCTAATGTTGGGTGTTCTATGTGTGTGGATGTGCTGCTGCGGTATATAAAACTATTAGAATAGGTTTTCACATTTTAGAATGGGGTGCTATTTTAAAATGGACAGTCTTGAGGCACCCCATTTTAGAATGGGGTGCCTCAAGACGATCTATAATATTAAAGGGTGCCTTGGGACTGTCCATAATTTTAAAGGGTGCCTTGACTGAAAAAAGGTTGAGAAACACTGGACTAGAGTTAGGACCGCACTATACAGAGGAACCTTGAAGAGGTAGCGTGCCTTCCAGATATATTTCCAAATGTTGTTCAACTAAACCTCTGTATTTAAATGCAATTGCACAGGGTGATTTTTTTTCCACTGACTAGCTAGCAAGTGTACTGGGGAAATCTTGATTTGCTGTTCAGGCTTGGTCCTGCCCCATCCCACCTACTGAGTCTTCCTATGGATATTTCTAATATGATGGGCAGTCTCACCAATCCATAGTTAGGGGCAGAGGGGAGCGTGACTTTCACATAAAAAGTTGAGATTTGGACAGAACGTCCTCTGCTTATACCTCTAGGTCTACTAAACATGCTGATATTGTGTTTTCATTGGAGGTCACACAGCTTTGATTTAGCTCATGCATGTGCAAAGCCTTGTTTTACTTTAAGTTGTCCTAACCCAGACAGATCAGGCTACCTAACAAACACCTCATATACGTTGTGGGTGCAACAGATATGGCCATCAAGTGCTCTGGGGCATCCTATATTTAGAGGAGAACTGTATAAACATGCAGATAGAGCTGCTGTAAGATTACATCTTCCACCAGGGTAATTATGATCTTTGCAGCCATGCAAACAGGAGATGATGATCATCAAGGGTTTGGAAATGACCTCCAAAAAATCATGGATATACTCATCCACATCCATCTGACATTTAGACATCTGAGCTAGCTGCAGATTCAGTTACTCAGCAAATCATTTATGAATAGAGAATACCACTTGGAATACTAGGAAACCACATCATCTGCATTTCCTTCATAGTTTCCCCACATTTGGTAAACATTTGTTCTAGTTGCATTGTACATAATAGATCTAAAAATATTTTTAGAAAAAACCAGCCTAGAAGTCAGAAATGGTTTAGAGGCAGGAAAGGGGTAGGGAATGCTTACCAGTTAAAATGATATTGTCTGTTTCTGTACCACCATCGTTTTAGGCTGGGCTCCCCCTCTTTGCAATGTGACAATGCACACGCATGGATGCATGGTTTTACGTGCCTTACTGTGTATTGTATGAAGAAGCCCATTTATTTGATGCAGGAATTGCACCAAAGAAACCCATGCATCTTTTTTTAAAACCACAGTGTATCACAACACATGGTAATAAGTAAACATGCATTGTGCACAGTGCATTGTGGTGCCAATAAGAACCTGGTTTCCTAGGTGGTCCTCAAAAACACATGCAGGTCCTGCTGTAATCTTCTGAAGGTTGATGCATGGCAGGTCCCATGCTGCCATTTTCTTTTTATCCACACTGCCATTTTATTTACTTTTGTTTTCAAGCAAATGGCTTAATCTTTGGGTTCTTGTAGCTGACCTCTTGATGCCATGCTGCAGTGCATGCATAGTGTGTCCTAGATTGCCCTGAAGCCTCCTAGGATGCGTGATATGAGTATTTCAGAAGGCCGCTAGAGATGTCATTCTTGCCTAGGCAAGGAAAGCAGAACAGCAGGCTGCCCTCTCCCCAGCCAATTATTTGTACATATAAACAACCATTGTCATTTTTCTTTTTATTCATGGTCTTGCAACAAAGATTCCCTTTCAATTTGTAAGATTATTAAAGTTTTTTTTATTATTTTTTTTTTAATTAATCTGAAATATTTCTTTAAAGTATTAAACTCCAAACCAAAAATGTAATATACAGTATTGAAGCTTACCAATCATTAGATGTGGTGGTTGCACTAGCATTTTTTAGGCTTTTTTTCCCCCTCCGTTTTCACCTGGTGATCTTGCCAGTAACACAACTTCTGTATTAGAGTGGCTCCCCTCTGGATGAAGGTGCACAGGGGACATTTTTGGGCAACAACATTGTCAATCTGAGGGGGAGGGGTGATAGGTGGACTGGCAGATTTAAATACACTAAAAAACTGAAGCTGAATCCTAGTTAACAAATATAAGCAGTTACAGCAAACCGTTTTTTTTTTTTTTTTCCTTTTGGGATAAAGGTTTTGCATAAATCAAAATTGATCCTTGTAAGCTCCCCTGTCTGTAATTATTATTATTATGATTATTATACAGTATTTATAAAGCGCCAATAGTTCGCTCAGCGCTGTACATTACAAAGGGGGACAGAACATGTGACAGAACAATACCAATACAATGCAAAACATGAGGGGATTGAGGGCCCTGCTCTTTCGAGCTTACAATCTAGGAGGGAGGGGATGGTGGTACAGGAGGAGATAGCTGTGGGGGATGGAGTGGTAGGAAGAGTGGAGGAGGTCGGCAAGTTAGCAGGGGGTGGGGAAGGCTTCCCTGAAGAGATGGGTTTTCAGGGTGCGCCTAAAGGAGAGGAGAGTAGGTGATAATCTGATGGGTTGGGGCAGGAAGTTCCAGAGGATGGGTGACACCCTGGAGAAGTCCTGGAGGCGGGCATGGGAGGAGGAGACCAGGGAACTAGAGAGAAGGAGGTCTTGTGAGGAGCGGAGTGTGCGTGCTGGGCAGTACTTGGATATTAGGTCAGTGATGTAGTTCGGGGCAGTATGGTGGACAGCTTTGTACGTCAGAGTTAGGATTTTGAATTTGATCCGTTGCGCAATCGGAAGCCAGTGGAGGGATTGGCAGAGGGGGGTGGCGGAGACAGAGCGGTTGGAAAGGTGAATGAGTCTGGCAGCCGTATTCAGGATCGACTGAAGCGGGGATAGCCAGCGGCGAGGCAGGCCAGTGAGGAGGGAGTTGCAGTAGTCGAGTCGTGATATGATGAGGGAGTGGATGAGCTGTTTAGTTTGTTTCAACGCTGTAAATACTGCATCTGCAGGGCATTTTGTTCTTCTGAAAAACAACAGACTTACTGGCTGGACCGTCACGTGAAAAAAAGGAAAGAAAGCCTAAAAAAGAAAGCCAATGCAGCCATGTAAATTGATATACTCTGTTGGAGAGCTTGAGCTTCTGAAAACAGGCTGCATGACAGTTTGCTCTTTTGAAAAACAATAGGCTTTCTGACTGGATCACCAGATCAAATGAAGCCAAAACATCTAAGAATTGGTAAGCTGCAATATAATAAAGGTTTGCTTTTGGGTTTAATACTGCTTTGAGTTTCTGCAGTAAACACTTTTAAGCACAAGTATAGTTAGTTACCTTTTACTGAGACGTGTATATGTTTTTTGATTCCTGGATGGTGGGTTCTGTATCTCCTCACCAGTACGCCCAGTGTGCAGTTGGGATAATGGGAGGAATGGTGATGACAGGTAAGCTCACAGCAAATGGCCACTCTGACAGAGACAACTCCCCCAAAATCCAACTACACACTCTGTGTATGAGCCAGTGGGGAGACAATGAGCTGCATCAAATAAACAATACCAAGGGACCTGTTCAGGCTCGTCATTCAACATTGACTTTGGAAAAGGTAAGCTATTATGCGCAATATACTCATTTATCTTAGCCCTGTGCCGCCCCCCCCCCCCCCCCAAGTGTAATTATTTTTTAAATCATAAGTACACTGACTTGCACAAATCTGATTGGGTGGAGCAAATATGTTCACATTATTCTATCAGCATCCTCCTATTTAAATTAAATCTTATGGTTTCACATACACGAGTGTTTGGCAAGGTTTTAGAGACAGTGACAAGTCTCTGCTGGTAGAAGACACAGAATCTCAAACAAACAACGTTAAGATGATTGTACTTACAGTCTAACCAGGTTGGGGAGTCCCTTAAATATATCAGCATTGAGGCATCCAATCCTGTTATTGGCAAGATCTCTAAAAAAGCAAAATATTGTTAGCATACAGAAATTCTGGAGTTTAATTGAAACCTTTATGGGTTAACTTATTAAAGCGTCTATAATTAGAGTTCACTTTAAAGTGCAGGTAATTGCACTAATGAGACAATAAGAGTTCTTTGCCGCTAACATGACATAAACTTAACATTTTAAATGAGTAATTGGGGCTGACTTTATTCTCTGCACCCCTAGGCCAACTGTTTAGTATTCCACTTCCACCCCATCAAATCAATCATAGTAATACCACTTCCTTCCTCACTAAACACAAAGGAGTCAAACCAGGCACATGAAATACAGGGCTCAACATAAATGAGTACACCCTTTTGAAAAATAAGATTTTAATCAATATTTCAGTGAACACAAGAACAATTAAAATTTTGACAAAACTGAGTTTTATAGAACATTTGTTTAGCCGATTACATGAAAGTAAGATTAATAATATAATTTAGATTACAAAATCTTCAGTTTTACTCAAATTAGTTGATGCAAAAATGAATACACCCCACAGCAAAAAAAATACTCCATCTAGTATTTTGTATGACCTCCATGATTTGTAAGGACAGCACCAAGTCTTCCAGGCATGGAATGAACACGTTGGCAACATATTGCAACATTTATCTTTTTCCATTCTTCAGGAACGACCTCTTTTAGAGCCTGGATGCTGAGTGATTCTCAGCTTGTCTCTTCAGAATTCCCCATAGGAGACATATTTGGCCACTGAATCACTTTCATTCTCTAAAGAAATGCAACAGTGGTCTTAGATGTGTGTTTTGGATCATTGTCATGTTGGAAAAGTACACGATGACCAAGGGTTCGGAATGATGGTAGCATCTTCTCTTTCAATATAGAGCAGTACATCTGTGAATTCATGATACCATCAATGAAATGCAACTCTCTAACACCAGCAACACTCATGCAGCCTCACAGAAGGACACTGCCACCACGTGTTTCACTGTAGGCACCATGAATTTTTCTTTGTACTCCTGACCTATGCGACGCCATACAGTTTTGAAGCCATCAGTTCCAACAACATTTATCTTGGTCTCATCACACCAGAGTACAGAGTCCCGGTAATCTTCTTCCTTTTCAGCATGGGCCCTGGCAAAATCTAGGTGGGTTTTTTTGTGCATGGGCTTCAGGAGAGGCTTCATTCATGGATGACACCCATGCATGCCATTCCTCTGCAGTATATGCTGTATTGTATCACGGGAAACAATCACCCCAGTTTGATTTTTTTACTTCTTTAGCTAATTATAGGGAACTTGCATGCCGATTTTCTTCAACCCTTCTCATCAGAAGACTCTCCTGTCGAGGTGTTAACTTTCGTGGACGGCCTGGACGTCTCTGTGAGATGATTGTAGTTCCATCTTTGTAAAATTTTTGTATCACTTTTGATACAGTATTCTGACTGGTAACTAAAGCTTTGCTGATCTTCTTGTAGCCTTCACCTTTCTTGTGTAAAGAAATTATTTTCTTTCTCCTCCATGTGGTGCCATTGCTGACAGCATGAAATGGGAAGGGGTTTTCTCTGCTACCCCTGGTTCACAATATATGCGGCCGTGCGGGCCGCGGTTTGCATGGGTACAAGAGCCCCGTGACCCGCAGGGAAGAAGTCCTTGCACTTCTTCTGAAAAAGCAGCCCGCACAGGAGCCTCGGTTCCCAGTATGGTTGTGTTTTTCACTGCGGGCAGCGTGCCATTAAAACGAATGGCACCCACCCGCAGGTCTGCATTCCTCTGTGCGAGTGGTGCGGCTGCAGGAATTTTCGTGCGGATCCTCAGCGGCACCACCCGCACATATGTGAACCAAGCCTTTTATAATCAATTGTCTGCTAGACACCTGTTTTTAATGAATAATTAGTCAACAAAGTCCTAATTAACAAGAATTCAACTACAGGCGAGTCTAAAATTTAGCTTTGCTCCTAAGACTTTCATTGGAGTATATTCATTTTTGCAACATGGTCTTGAATGAATTTCTTAGGAAAAATACTTTTTGTGTGTACAAATTAACAAATCTTGTTTGAAATCAATGGCCCGCATTTGTGGGAGTATTTTGTAGTATAGTGTTCCATAGAAAATGTTGCTTCTGAATGGAAAGCAAAAGGTTTTCTGACAAATCTGTTGGGGTGTACTCATTTATGCTGAGCACTATGCATGGAATTTTTATATTACATTTACATACATAAGGACATATCAGAATGGTGGAATTTATTACTACCTCTGACACAGGCATTTATTACTCCCACTGACCTCTTGCACAGGGACATTTACTACTTCCTCTGACACGAGGGGCATTTATTACTACCTCTGAAACGGGGGCATTTATTACTCCCACTGACCTCTGACATGGGCATTTATTACTACCTTTGACATGGGCATTTATTACTACCTCTGACATGGGCATTTATTACTACCTCTGACACAGGGGCATTTATTACTACCTCTAACACAAGGGCATTAGTTACTCCCATTGACCTCTGACACGGGGCATTGATTACTACCTCCGACACGGGGGTAATTATTACTCCCACTGATCACTGGTACAGGGGCATTTATTACTTTCACTAACCTGTGACACAGGGGCATTTATTACTACCTCTGGCACAGGGACATTTATTGCTACAAAAGAGTGGACACCGCCCCGGTCTAGAACTGGCTTTTGCAGCAGTGAACATGGACAGGCATCGCATATCAAACAAGCTACCCAGTTCAACTTGCCAGCCAGCTAACCAACAACATTGGTCAGCAGCCCCAGTCTAAAAATGGCTTTTATCAGTGAGGAACATGGATAGGTATCACTTATCAAAAAGGGGGATAAGATAGCCAGTTCACCTTGCCAGCCAGCTAGCCAACAACCAAATTAACCTATCTAACAATATGAGTGAAAAACAGGGGTTTAGTTAGCACACATTTGCAAATACATACGTAAGCCACAGAGCCACATCACAGCACCCCGACATTCTGTGGAACTAACTCTACAAATTTTGGGAGTCCTCATAGTAGAGGCACATGTATTTAATGGATAGACCAAGGGCAGGTGATCCTGAGGGAGCCCACCCCTCCTTAAAGGCATGGGAGCACACTGGACACCCAGCATATAGCACAATGGCAGCCAGTGCACCCACTCACCTACAATACAACATACAAAAGAGTGGTCACCGCCCCGGTCTATTACTGGCTTTTGCAGCAGTGAACATGGACAGGCATCGCATATCAAACAAATAAAGCTACCCAGTTCAACTTGCCAGCCAGCTAACTAACAACAGTGGTCAGCAGCCCCAGTCTAAAAATGGCTTTTTGGAGGGGTGGGCTCCCTCAGGATCACCTTCCCTTGGTCTATCCATTAAATACATGTGCTTCTACTATGAGGACTCCCAAAATTTGTAGAGTTAGGAACACAGAATGTCGGGGTTGCCGTGATGTGGCTTTGAGGCTTATGTATGTATTTGGAAATGTGTGCTAACTAAACCCATGTTTTTAAACACATTGTTAGATAGGATAATTTGGTTGTTGGCTAGCTGGCTGGCAAGTTGAACTGGCTATCTTATCCCCCTTTTTGATAAGTGATACCTATCCATGTTCCTTGCTGATAACAGCCATTTTTAGACTGGGGCTGCTGACCACTGTTGTTGGTTAGCTGGCTAGCAAGTTGAGCTGGGCAGCTGTATTTGTTTGATTTGGTATTTATTACTACCTCTAAAATGAGGGCATTAATTACTGCTGCTATCCTATAGTATGTCGCAAAGGCATTTATGCTGCATTCACACTTGAGTGATTTGTAGCTTGAAGCTCCAAAAGCACTCAAACTTAAAAATTCAATTGTTCTCTATGATCACGTGAACAGGTCCATAGAAAACAATTGATTTTTTTAAAGTTTGAGCGTTTTTGGAGCTTCACGCTGCAAATTGCTTAAGTGGAAATATAGCCTTATTGCTCTCATGAACCTCTGACACAGAGGCATTTATTACTCTCACCAACCTGACACAGAGGCATTTATTACTCCCACTGACCTCCAACATAGAAGGCATTTTTTGACCACTGGCGCAAAGAATGTTTGACTCTCACAGGCCTCCAACACAAGGGTAATTTTTTTTCTCCTACTAGACAGAGTCCTGCCCCCAGACATTCTGTTCAATTAAAGGGCCAGGTCAATATCTGTCAGTTTGGGGACCTCTTCATTAAACTATTCTTCATTTGCCAAGACAATTCAAACAAGGAAACATGTCCACTGTAACAATATATACACACCAGTAGCTAGTGCTATACCAGTGCTATATTGTACTAGCCATTAATTATTCAGAAAGTTTGGAGTTTAAGTGATTCCACTTATTTATGTTTTATATTTTTACATTTAAAAAAGAAAAAAAAAAAAAAAAAAAAAAAAAGAGTCCCTTAATAATAAATCTCAGCGAAAGATTTTTGTACTACCTTGGATGGCAGAACAAGGCCATGCATTTTTTATTTTTTTAAAGCCTGAATGTGAAGTGACCTTCATCCTGTCTAAGGAACAAGAGAGCTAAGCTGTATCTGGATTCAATCAGCTCTATGACACAAAGTACAAAGGAACAAAGTCAGAGCTTGGCAGGCTTGCAAAACAAATTGTTTAAAAGTGTTCTGTGGTTAGGACATGGTCATGAAATGTGCAGTTCTTGTTCTTACGTACATAGCAATCTTTTAATAAAAAAAAAAAAAATCAGAATACTTACAGTCGTTTAAGAGACGCAAGTCCTGAAAAGGCACCAGGTTCGATTAAACTGATTAAGTTATTTCGAAGGTCCCTGAAAAACAAAGTATCACAGTTACAATGACTCACATTTTTCTTCCTTATTAGGAAAGGTGTTCCTAGTTTATCACTGGGGACAGAATAGCACGGTGTCACATAGAGAACCAAACTCTTCCTTTCACTGTGCCAAAATGTGTCAAATTTATTTTTATTTATTTCAGGTACTTATATAGCGCCGTCCATTTACGCAACGCTTTACACAAATATATATTGTACATTCACATCAGTCCCTAACCCTCAAGGGGCGTACAATATAAGGTCCCTAACTCACATTCACACATACACATACTAGGGACAATTTAGACAGGAGCCAATTAACCTACCAGCATGTCTTTGGAGTGTGGGAGAAAACCGGAGTTCCCGGAGGAAACCCACGCAGGCACAGGGGAGAACATAAAAACTCCAGGCAGGTGGTGCCGTGGCTGGGATACGAACCGACGACCCTAGTACTGCCAGGCGGAAGTGCTAACCATTTAGCCACTGTGCCCCAATCATCTCATTGGTTATTACAAGCAATCCAGAATGTTAGATAGTGGGTAAATTCATAAATAAGTGACCCATGGGCTGAATTAAATAAGAAAAACTATTTTCCCTTCCTAACTCCCACAGTACACATGGATGAAAGGGACAAGATTCAGTTATTGTGAGCAATATACTGTATGAACAGAGGCTGTGACTGCTGCGATCTCTTTTCCAACAGGCCATGGACATCATTCCCCCCTTCCCCTAGGCTGGGCATAAATGGCTCATGTTTTGGGTGTTCAGCCTACATGGAGAGATGGAGAAAAAAAAAATCTCCTGATTATTCCATGCCCATTGTGAGTCTTACAAGCAATCCAGAAAAAAAAAAAATGTTATAGATAGTGGTTAAATTCAAAATAAGTGACACCATGGGCTGAATGTAAATAAGAAAAACTATTTTCCTACCTAACCTCCACCACCAAACATGAATGATGTGGATGGAAGAACTGAGCTGCCTAACAGTGACTGCATCTGATGGGTTCCAGTTGTTGTTTGGTCAATCATTTTTCACCCACCACAATCAATTTATAAACTGACTTTTGTCAAGCCAGATGAGTTTTTTCAGGGCCACCCACTGCCCTAAATTCAGCTTATTTAGCAGGAATTGACTGAATTTCAAGCCATCTATGTCCAGCCTTAGGTCCCATTCAAAACATGCATTGGGCTGCGTTGGGCACCATTGCACAATCTAGTCCCAACGCATGGACAAGGCAGTTTACCTTCTGTCCTGCGGTGAGCTGAATTTAATATTACACAGCACAGAGTGTTGGGACCCACTACACCGCATCACCACGCTCTGCAGTACAGCTGAATGAAATTGTGTGACATTTAAAAAAAAAAAAAAAAAAAACAAACAAAAAAACCAACAACACGGGACAGCTCCTTCACAACGCACACCAGTGGCCGAGCATAATGTGTGCCTTCTGGTTGTAATGGGCTCTCAAAACATTACTAAAGGCAATTCCTTTACGAAAATAACAAACATGTTATATGTTTATATGTGCAATGGTTTTGCATGGAGGGGACCAAAACCCCTTCTTCTAGGGTTCCTTGCCGGTGCTGTCTGCTGCTCCTGCTCTGTGTCTGCCCATATAGCAAGCCACTTGCGATGGGGGCAGACAGTGCAGACTCGCTAGCGAGCCGGGCTTTGTATGTCTATAGACACTCCCCCCCAGATCCCTCCTTACTGGATTTGACTGACGGCAGAAGAAGCCAATGGCTCTCACTGCTGTCTCTGAGCCTTTGAGGAGAATGAGAGCATCTCTGCTGATTTTCAGTACAGCGCTGGATCAAGACTGGGCTCAAGTAAGTATTTAGGGGGGCGGGGGGGGGGAGCTAATCATAGAAGGTTTTTCAACCTAGAGCAGAGAATGCATTAAGGAAAAAACCTGTAGTCTTTAGACCCACTGTTAATGTTATCTTATGCTAGACTGGATTCAACAGTGAATAGGGGTGGGGGGGGGGGGGGGGGGGGGATTTTTTTGCAATTAAACTAAAAGCAATATTTACAGAAAATCAACATATAGCAATAAGATGGACCACACAGCATACTCTAATTCTGCAGACGTGTACCAGTCCTGAAGAGCTAAATCTGGATGTAGGCTAAACATAGCAATTGCATTGCTGGGATGCTATTGAGACAGAATGTTTGTCAGTGCATAGTTTGCAGAGTGGTCCGTGACAACTGCAAGATTTGGTGAATGCCTTGATATGCGATCCTTGAAGAAGAGGAGTGTCTGGGATGGTATTTTCATTGACGCTTGTGGCCATGCAGTGACAGTTCTAATACTTACCAGTACAGCCTCCACTGCAGCCAGTCATTTTGCTTTTGGAGAGCTACAAGCACCAATAGAATCTGTATCAAAAACTGTCAAATGTGTTGGACGGCAGCGTCCCCCTGGGGCAAGCTAGTGGTATAGCAGCTGGCTTTGTAAGACGTGACAACTGACAGGCATAGAACACATTCAGAAATGTTGGATGAGGCATATTTCACTGGTGCAAGACAGCAAACACCAATTGCTATGGATTAAGGTGTACTAAATGGGCTGATTCATGCAGCGCTTACTGCATAAAATTAGCAGTTCAGTGAATATTTCTTTTTGTTGACAGGTATTGCCTTAACCCTTTTGCCATTTTTGCATATTAGGCCTGAATCTTGATTAAAACTCCCAAAACATATTTTCTGCAAGTAAAGACACTGGAAAACAAAATGGTGGTACTTGCAATTTTGTACACAAATGTACAACAGTTTATCAAACCCATATTTGCAGCAAAAAAACTGCTCTATCAGCCCGCGAGTATGTTTAAAAGCCTGTACTGCCACTGAATTAAGGCTTAGGTTACTTGCAGCTAAAAAGTTAATGGCTAAGTGTGTCCAATTACCTAACTACTAGGTGACAAACTATCAATCGTGATCTTGTCGTCATACTACTCATGTCAACAAATTCTTCCCATATAATTATTATATTTTATACATTGTATGTGTGTTATATGGAATATTTTGTGTGTTATTTACCTGTAAACGTCTACCTTGTGTAGCCTGCTTTGCTTCTTCCCTGGCAGTTAAATAAAAGGTTATGTAGGGAGCTGAGAGAAGGGTGATGGAGCTGGGCCAGCAAAGAGAGGGGGCTATGCTGGGGAATGGAATAGTCAGTTTTTCTAGCAAGTTCCGAGGCACATTGCAAATAAATGAAAAAAAAAATGGATGGAAAGGTAAAACACAGTTAGTAAGCACTTCAAATGCTTGATTTTTTTATCAAATTTACCTATTTTTTAAAGCTGGTGACAGGGTCCCTAAGGTGTTCCTAAACATAAGCCCTGGAGGTCTGCTTAAAAGAAAATTGATTCACCACACCTTAATCCAAGTTCTCAATAACCCACTGAGGAGTTCATACAGCTCCTCAGATGTTCATTGGGAGGGTGCTTTCTGAAGGATCATCCCTGCCTGCTTGTTGTATCACCAGTCAGATACACCCAAGGCTGGTGGATTTGGGAGGCCTACTGCTGACAGTGGTATTTCAGGCTTTCTGTATGGGACAAACAGTACTGGGTATGACTAAGGCATGCTCTATGCATTTGAAACAGGTTTGCTAAAGGGGTTCCCAGATCACTGATAAAAGGAAGGTGGTAGCATGCACTCCCTGCATGCATATCATGGTTTAAAGCCCAACTCTGTGCAAAAAAAGTGCAGCTCTCGAGAAATTTTTTTTTTCTATTTGGATTGAGTGGGGAAGAATTAGACCCTTTTTTTTGCTGTATGTGTTCCCCTTTGATTCATGACTCTATTTGTACTGTTGACCATTGCCCCTGAGAAAGGAAGTAAAGGGTAATCCAAAATGTCTCACTTTGGAAGATTTCCATTTACAGCAGACCTTCACAAACAATTGGGAAAACTTTTTCTTTTTAAACAATAGATAGTTGAAGGTGGTGTCTGCAGTGTGACCTCGCGGATATGCAGCCACCCCATGGGATTTATAGGACCTGGCAGTTGTGCAGTGTGTCTGTGAATGTGAATCGCATGGAACTCTCTGCGCAAAAAACAGAAGGCCTCTGCCAGGTTCCATAGACCTAGTAAAGATGCAAAGCCTGTCTGCTATATGTGAAATGTCAAGCCAAGATGGCAGCGCGAAAGCACAGTGAAACTAGATTGCAAGGAGAACAAAGCTTTGGACTCTATGGACTGGCGAGTATGTATTGTTTATTTACATAGAGGAACAATTACCAGGGTATAAAAAAATTGCTAGGTTGGAGTGAAGATCCTCATTACTACCTGCTGCATCTCTGGGACAGTAAAGCGAAATTTACAGAGGCATCAAAAATAAACCTAGCAGGGTTTTTAACCCTTTTCCTATGGAGAAAAAAAAAAAAAAACAAAAAAAAAAAAAAACAACTTTTGGCTGCACATACACTTTAAACTACAAATAAAATCTAGAAAGGTCACTGGCACAGAAAGGCTAATAAATTCAAAAGGCCATAGTGTACAAGGATATCCATTTCACCAGCATGCGGAGTAATAGCAGGAAGTCTTGTAAAATGAGTTTTCTTGGACCTGTCCCCCAGAGAGGCAATTTCCTGTCCACAGCACATCAAACCCACAAATTCCTCTAAGATTCTGCCTTCACTAGAGCTGCCACACCACGAACAGAATTCATCTCCCCACCACAGTCTAATCGAAAGCATATTTTACATCGCTATATACTGTATATAAAGGGTTGCCTTTTGCTCTTATACTGTTATTTAAATATGAAGTACCAATGAAGAACATATGAAACTAAATTCTAACATTTGAGTTTTTCCCCTTCTATGTAATTTACATTTTAGTTCTATTTCGTTCTGAGGATTACCTAAAACGATGAACATTATGTGTATTTATTGTAAATTCCCTTCCAAAGGGAATGAGGGTAGGCTAGAAAAAGGCTGGCTGGTATTCCAGATGGACTGCAGATATATCATTTTTCTAATCGTTTGTCTTCC